ACGTAGTGTTTTAAATATCGTACTTATCTACTCATTACAAACATATCCTACACTAAAAATGGTAAAATACCCTTTTAAAAAAAAAGTTGAACCGACTTCAAAAAACACCGACAAAGAGCACTAAAAATTAAAAAATAATTACAAATCTAAGTAAAAAACTATAATAAGTACCCTCAATGTAACAGGTAACATTACAATACCAATAGTCCCTTCTAGTCCGTTTGAAGTCGGTGCCAAGCTCGATGCACAATAAGTAATACTGGTCTATGTCAGCTTTATATTAGCACAATGAAAAATTAAGAATTCAAACTAATTCTAATGAAACATCGAAGATTTTGTTAATTAATAAAGACCAACCAGATCAATTACGTGCGCAAACGTATCAACTCCTTATTAAAGCGTTGAAAATAATAATATAATTGGAGATGTGCGTCCACTTTAGCTCGTTCAACATGTTTTGCGCAGCATGAAGACTGTTGCAGCTGCCGCGCTACATTCTATCAAGCACCTATTTGGCTTGGCACCGACTTCAAACCGACTAGAAGGGGCTATTGGTATTGTAATGTTACCTGTTACATTGAGGGTACTTATTATAGTTTTTTACTTAGATTTGTAATTATTTTTTAATTTTTAGTGCTCTTTGTCGGTGTTTTTTGAAGTCGGTTCAACTTTTTTTTTAAAAGGGTTTTGTTAGTAACAGTCTCAATGCCACAACTTTTCTATAAGATGTGGTCCGAGCTAACAATGTAAAATTAAAAGTGTAAATAAACTGGCGTACCCACAGCACAGCCTTGTCTAGTGCGGGGCCACAGAGGACTGTTGTGACATTGTACTTTTATTAGTCAATTAACACTTTTTTATTTTATTTATGTATTAGTTTAAAGAATGTAGTGTACAGAATGTTTTGGTTTTTCAATAAACTTATTTTCTACACTACTCTCTCTCTCTACTATTTTGTAAAACAACGGGTAGTATCAACTGACATATGATTGTCATCTTTTTTTTTTGTTGACGAGGTGGAAAATCCCTTCGGATCTCCTGCTCCTCGGGGACTATGAGCCAGGAGTATGTGGTGATTCCACTAAAAACCACCCCGACGGCCGGCCTCAGGTGTCCTACTCTGTGGAGGACCCGGACCATGTTATTTCAAGTCCTCCCCGAATTGACACCATGCCCAATCAGGCCCTATCCCAGGAGAGAACACTTCCCCCCTCAATCGCGGCAGGGCGGCCCGATCGCATCTTAATGCAATCAGGCCGACCATTCCATGCCCTACCGCAGCAATCAATTTGCCACCAGAGGTCCCCTCTCTGTCGGCCTGCGGCCCCGTCGACGGCTGTTAAGCGGTCTCTTTCTGGAGCATTACAGCTTCACAGAAAGAGACCACTGAGCCCCATCCTTCCTCACCCGCCAGCGTGGTAGCAATAATTGCTGGCGGGGGGACAGGTCTCGTCCAATTTGGCCGACCAGGACTTCGCGTTCAGACGCCCACGCGGGGCAGTCTTCCAGCGTGTGCTGGGCGGAGTCCCAGTCGGCTGCGCAGTGCTGACATTGTGCCGTCTCCTCGCGATACGATTCAGGTACTCACCGAAGCAACCATGCCCAGTGAGTACCTGCGTCAATCGGTAGGAGACGCGGCCTCCCTCCTTAGCTACCAAAGCTTCGAGGCTAGGCAGAACGGCACCGACAGCGCGTTGGCGCTGGCACTGGCACTGCACCAGTACCTGTCGGTGAGCGTTCCACCGCATTTCGAGCTCGTCCCGGTCTTCCCTGCTCTCACCCCGGCGGATCGTGCGAGTCTGGTCGTAGACCCTTGCGTCCATATCCGCCAGGATATCAAAAGGCGGGTAGCGTGCCAGGACCGTCGCCGCCTAAGACGAAATGGTGCAGTATCCCCGTACGATCCGAATAGCCGCTACCCGCTGCACTTGATTGAGCTTAGCTCGGCAGCGGGAGGAGGCCGATAAGAGCTTTGCCCATATCGGCGCTCCGTAGAGGGCCATGGATCGTATCACCGCACAGTAGAGGCGGTGAACTTCCTCCCGCGGACCCCCTAGATTAGGGATATCATTGTCATCTACTATTATTAATGGTATTTATTTACGTATTTTTACGTAAATTCAAAAAATCTCATTATTTTCTGAACATGTTCAGAAAATAATGAGATTTTTTGAATTTCGGCGATTTGCAATATCCGATTGAGAACTTTTTTAACACGTTTTTATTAGTTTGGTATTTATGTATAAATTAAAACTTTACACGCTTATCAAGGCCGATGACGATGCAATTATTTAATTTAACTAGTTTGTGCCATTATAATGATCAGGATCTTCAGGATTAACGGCTTTTTCTATACATAGAACTATGCTAGTGTCTTTTGCCACGTACTAAGGCGAGTGCTGAAGCAAATGTGATAAAGTTGCTTAACACTTTTTTAGTTTTAATAAGATATCTAATAATCACCATTATTAATGACTAAATAAGAGAAAATACTTAAATTAGTTCAAAAAAAAAACACGCTTTTGTAGCCAGCTGAACTAAAAAGTAGGAAATAATTTTGTGTAACTCCAACTGCCACCATTTATAGACTTATGTACCACAACAGGACAATGTTAATACTGAACCCCTATACCTTTCTTTTTGCGGAAATCCCTTCGGATACCACCCACCGGTGGTTATGACGGACTAGAACCGACCAAAAACCGCACGCCGTCTCGAGTACCAGTTGCCGGGGAAACAGGTGTACCCCCCTAGGAAAGAGACTAGAGACTACAGCGAAGGGTGCACCACACCGACCTGCTTCTGCTAGGGTGACAGATGGCCTCACCTACCACCCCCAGGCCTAGGACCCCTATATCTAACGTTATGTAGTCAGGTTTACATAATTCTTAAGTTTATAGCATTAAGTGTCGTGTCATGGTCTGGTAGTATTCCAAAATTAAAAAACGTGCGTTTCAAAATTGTATTGGATTAATTAAATTCTTTGATGAAGAGGTATCCAAGTTTATACATTCCGCATTATTTGTTAAAAATAATTCTGAGGTATTTAACTATCGTAAGCGTAAACCTACTTTCTAGGGAGAGGCCTATGTCCAGTAATGGACTTGTAAAAAAGCTGTATGATCCTGATGAATGACATGAGGATAAATTGTACACAGTTTTTCCAGCAAGACACATCTAGTGCAGGAAAGTATATTCTGTACAGCTTCATACATATTATCCCATATGTTCTCATGTAATATTCTTGTAAATTCAATAGTTTGTTATGTTTAATATAATTAAGGTTAATTTTTGCATTAGGTATTTAATTATGTTTTAGGTGTAAGCTTTGATGTTGTAGTGCATGCTGTGGTCTCCTATAACTGATGGAGTACACTGTTCAAAACAGTTTTTACTTTTGTCTAATTTGTCTTGTCTTTAAATAATGAATATTCCAAGAGATATCAATAAGGTTAAAGTAATAACTACGTATACAAAGATACATGACTTTATAGGTTAATTATTGTATCATTTTTTTTTTTTTTTATATTCTACCACATTCACACATCACCATCTAGTCCCAAACTAAGCAGAGCTTGTACTATGGCTACTAGACAACTGATATAAATACATATATACTTTTGTTTTTGTAAATACATACTTATTATACATAGAAACACCCAGACCAAATCAAACATTAAATGTTCATGCACACAAATGTTTGACTTGAGCGGGAATCGAACCCGCGACCTTTGGAATAGCAGTCCGTTCACAAACCACTACGCCATCCGGTCGTCTATTGTATGCCCAACGGGCGGGAGGACATACCTGAACTAAATAATGAGAACTATAACATCTGTTTTATGTACACACTTTTCTATGATCCACAATAAACAATATTATTACTATTATTGTCAAACAGGAAAGAAAATGTTAAATAGTTGCATTCAGTACATGTCACAGTCACTCATGAATTAAAATGTGTGTAGAAAAGCAAATAAAGATTTCTTGTTCAAACAATTTAGGCTCATATATAAATGGATAAAAGAACTTTATTTGTACACCGTTTTACAAGCAGTATGGAAATAATACAGAAAAATGTCAGACATATAATGTACAAAGGCAGCCCGTCTTATTGCTAAGAGCAATCTCTTCAATTCAACCTTAGGATGGATCAAAATGTGTTGTGGCTCATGTTTTGTGTTGTATCATATTAACATGATAAGCGTGTCATGTATGAAATAAAGTGACCGGCTCAGGTGCAGGGGTGGGGGTGACAGGTGAGGCCATCTGTCACCCTAGCAGAAGCAGGCCGGGGTGGCGGCGAGCGCGTTGCGAAGCGCGCTCGCTTCCGGGGAGCAGAGGGAACATGGGGTTCCCACACGGGGGGGGGGTCGTCTACTCGTCTGTAGATGGCCCGAGGTATGTCGGGGCACCAGGGACTTCCTTTCTAGGGTATACCTGGTTCTCCGGCTATTAGTACCCGAGACGGCGTGCGGTTTTAGTCGGTTCGAGTCCGACATGCCACCGATAGGTGGTATCCGAGGGGATTTCCGCACGGGAAAAAAAAAAAAAAAAAAAAAAAGGTGCAATCTTTCTAAACAATATCAGGCTTCTTGCTCCAATGCCTGTTATCTAAACACGGCCTTATACCATATTACTAGCCAAAAGCGATGCTTTAGGAAGGCTAACCAAGTTTTCGCAATTGAAAATTAATTACTCCTTATTTATTTGTGCATACTATAAAAATTCGGCGTATTTTTAACTTAACATTTTATTTATTTCGCTACTAATTCTTTGGTTTAATAACAGATGGCGTTAGCAGTACAATGAAATTCTAATAAGTAAAATTCGTTTTTAAACTTGTGTAAAAGAATATTTTTATGATAGATAACAAATCCAGACATTAATCGAAATAAATATGCCAATGCCCAAACCTGAAGTTTAATAGTTTGTCTGTAAATTGTACCTCCAAAATGCACAGATTGTGGGATAGTATTAGGGCTCGCTTCACTCAACCTCTATAAAGACGAACAATACCAAATGGCTTTCAAACTTACCTTTCGGGAAAAGTTATTATCCACAGGTTTAAGAATGTTGACAACATGAAGTCTGGTCATACTGTGAGCTCTTGTGTCTTTAGACAACACGTTCATTCTGCACACTTGACACACCACAGAGCTCTCCGCTTGCTTGTAGCTATGGAATGCTTCAATCGTGAACTTCTCCCTGTTACCATTAGGAGTGGTGATGACCACACCGCCGTCTTCTACGATGGGCAGTTCACAGTTCAATTTGAATTTGGCAATCATCGATTTCAAATATTCCAAAAAGTTTGTTTCATGCTGATTCGCTGTTGTCAGTGAGCTGTGAGCTCTATCCCCTTGATCTGTAGGTTCAGATTGAGTTTGCGACTCTCGTGCTGTTCTCTTAGCCAACGCACTGTGCCTCTTGCCTTTGCAATGATCTTGGAAACTGTTACAATGTATAGTTTTGAAGCAAATAGGGCAAAAGATCATATTTGCAGGTGTCTCTCTTTGGTCAGAATACTCCCTTATAGTCTGCAAGTGCTTCTTGCTTTTGAGGTGGTCTTGGTAAGTGTTCGGCGTCAAATAAATATTGCACACGTCACAGTGTGTTAGCTTCCATTTCTTATCTGTAGTACATTCGATTTGCTTAACGTTAGAGACACGGTCTCTCATATAAGAATAATGGGTAGGATCAGTGGCCGCATGTTCGGCGCTATCAGAGACGGTTAAGTTGCACAGCAGACAGTGAGACATCACCACGCTTATCTGAAAAAATAGGTTTTATTATTACCCTGACGATAATTTGTACTATTTGTAAGCAAAATTATGTGTACAACTTGTGCAGTAAGTTAAATAAATAAAAAATAACATGAACATGGAGCAGAGTGGGCAATCGAGCAGACGGATCACCTGATGGTAAGTAACCACCGCCGCCCATGGACACTTGCGGGTCAAGCGTCACAAGTGCATTGAGTCCCTCAACCCAAAGTCAAAAGTGGGGGAGAGGGTGGATAATGGGGGCAGGGGGTTTGGTCTACGGTAACTTTGCCCTAATTGCTTAACACCGGTGTTTTGTGAGGGGGCACGGTATCGCCACGGTCGAATCGGCCGGTACGTGCCGACGCGTGAATCTCTCTCTCTGAAAGGAAGGAGTATATAATATCGTGTGTTCTTCGTGAACGTTTCCCTGTTTTAGCAACATTTTTTATTTATGCTCGTCTCCTATCGATCGTAAAGAATTGTATTTCTTATTAAATTCTTTACAGTTCACTTAAGAAATTACATACATTCATTATTAATTGGTATCATAGTTATTCCAACGAGAGTCACTATGCATACATACTTATAATAAACTACCCTCCGATATAAATAAATGCCTAAACGCAAAAAATATCAAACATAATTTGAAGGAATTATTTTTGGAAAACATGGCCTAGTCGTCTTTGTAAGTAATCCCTCTTCCTCTCCTTGCCTAACTCGGAGTTCACTTCACCGTTCTTATATCAGTTTATGAGCTATGGAACGGAACTATGAGCCAGGAGTATGTGGTGATTCCACTAAAAACCACCCCGACGGCCGGCCTCAGGTGTCTTACTCTGGGGAGGACCCGGACCATGTTATTTGAGGTCCACCCCGAATTGACACCATGCCTAATCAGGCCCTATCCCAGGGGAGAACACTTCCCACAACAATCGCGGCATGGCGGCCCGATCGCATCTTAATGCAATCAGGCCGGCCATTCCATGCTCTACCGCAGCAATCAATTTGCCACCAGAGGTCCCCTCTCTGGCGGCCTTCGGCGCCGACGTCCTCTACGTTCGGGATCGGCCCTCTCCCGATCCCGTTCAGCGGTCTCTTTCTGGAGCATTACAGCTTCACAGAAAGAGACCACTGCGCCCCATCCCTCCTCACCCGCCAGCATGGCCGCAATAGTAATAATTGCTGGCGGGGACAGGTCTCGTCCAATTTGGCCGGCCAGGACTTCGCGTTCAGACGCCCACGCGGGGCAGTCTTCCTGCGTGTGCTGAGCGGAGTCCCAGTCGGCTGCGCAGTGCTGACATTGTGCCGTCTCCTCGCGTCCGATACGATTCAGGTACTCACCGAAGCAACCATGCCCAGTGAGTACCTGCGTCAATCGGTAGGTGACGCCGCCTCCCGCTCTACCTACCCAAGCTTCGAGGCTAGGCAGAACTGCACCGACAGCGCGTTGGCGCGCATTCCGCGGTTGTTCCAGCCGCGCGCGCCACTGCACCAGTGCCTGTCGGTGAGCGTTCCGCCGCATTTCGAGCTCGTCCCGGTCTTCCCCGCTCTCACCCCGGCGGATCGCGCGAGTCTGGACGTAGACCCTTGCGTCCATATCCGCCAGGATATCAAAAGGCGGGAAGCATGCCAGGACCGTCGCCGCCTCCGACGATATGGTGCGGTATCCCCGTACGATCCGAATGGCCGCTACCCGCTGCACTTGATTGAGCTTAGCTCGGCAGCGGGAGGAGGCCGTAAGCGCTTTGCCCATATCGGCGCTCCGTAGAGAGCCATGGATCGTATCACCGCACAGTAGAGGCGGCGAACTTCCTCCCGCGGACCCCCTAGATTAGGCAATAGCCTCTGTAGGGAGCCCGCCACCCCGCGAACTCGGGGGATCATCGGCTCGAAATGCTCCTCGAAGCTCCAACGGCTGTCCAGGGTCAGGCCGAGGTATTTGATGTGCCGACCGACCTCGACCTCTGTTCCCTCTAATAATCGAGCGGGTGGGAACTGCACCTCTGCGTTTCCTATGGAACCACAGGGCTTCCGTCTTATGAGGTGCAACCCTTAGACCCAGACCGCTGATCTTTTGGACGACACAAGCCACCCCTGACTCGGAGAGCTCTAGGACCTCCTGAAAGCCATGCCCCCCAGCCAGTACCAGAGTGTCGTCCGCATAGCAGACGACACTCAATCCTGGGGGAAGACTGGTCCTCAGAACGGCATCATACGCGAGGTTCCACAGAAGTGGTCCTAAGACTGACCGCTGGGGAACCCCGCATGTGACCTCCCTTCGGCAATCTTCGCCGTCCCAACCCATATACGATATTGACCTGTCGCGGAGATAAACCCCGATGATGAAGTGGGCTACCTAACACTAACTATTTGAACCAGTAGTTCCTGAAAATCAACCAAACAAACAAACTCATCAGCTCAGTGGTGGCCTTTGCTATTGCGCGACCCCGGGCGGGTAGATCATTGCGAGGCTTCTTCATTAGCGAGGCGCCGGGCGGTTGCCCTGTTCACCACCCCCACTACACCCAACTATACCTAAAAACCAGTTTCAATATTTTTTTTACTGTCTGCCTGTTGCAGGTAATCTTCAAAACCGCTGGACGGATTTTGTCTATATAAGGAGTAACTTAGGCTATTTTTCCTCTCAGTAAAACCCTGTGAAATTTTGTCCGGTCCGGAAATCGAACCCGAGGCCTCATGGACTGCAGTCGCGTACCGCACTACACCACTAAGGCAGCGCTTTTCAAATTAGACGCGAACGAAGTCGCGGGTGGCACCTAGTGAAAATATGTGAAATTGGCTATATTAAGCTATCCATACTTATAAATATGCGAGTTCGTTTTTTACACTTTCACGCCTAAACCGATTTAAAAAATTCTTTAACCAATGGAAAGCGAGTAAACGACATACTTTATACATTCGAGTCCAGTATATTGTACTTACCTTTCGAGTGAAGTGTACATCTATGGCTTGTGTAATATTCTTTACATGGATAAGAGTTTCGCTGTGGACTCTTGTGTTAACAGATACCGTCATCTGGCACATTTGACAAAACATACTGCTCTCCGTCGGCTTGTAGCCATGAAAACTTTCCACAGTTGTAGCCGCTTCAAATCCATGGGATGTGACAACAACTAGACCACCATTTTTGACAATTGGCAGTGTGTATTTCAAATTATATTTTGAAACCATCTTTTTTAAGTACACCATAAAAGCCTCGACGTCCATCGGTCCATTTCTATCGTCGACATGATCTTGAGTGATGCCATATTCCTGTTGGTCTTCTTGCGTCTGGACTGAGTTTTGTGTCGCTTTTATGTTTTGTTTATCAATCTTCCTTTGGTTCCTCCAATGATTTTTACCTTTGACATGTCCAGCAAAATCATGTCCATGTATGTATATGTCACAAACTTCACAATGTACAAAGGTATTGTTCTTATTTGTTAAGGTTGGTGCTTCGGTTACTTTGGGAGTATTATTTACTGTGTGTGGTTTGTCGTTACCCTTGGCAGTGGCGTCTTCCGGTCGAGTTAAATAGTATTTGTTGCTCACCAAGTCGTGACTCCATAAACCATTTATCTGTAACATATCATCCATACTTATATCTATCTATACAAATAAATAAAATTGAAGTGTGTTTGTAATGTCAAAATAATAGGTTTTTTACATGCTCACACGGTTATTTGCACGATTCCTATGCCTAAAAACCAGTTTAAATAGTTTCAGTGCGTCTGTTTGCTCTCGGTAATCTTAGAAACGGCTGGACCGATTTTGATATTTTTTTACTACCAGGCCAGCTGTCTATGTAAGGAGTAACTTAGGCTATTTTTCCTCTCAGAAAAACCTCCAAACAGCCTCATGCACTGCAGTCGCGTACCGCACTACAACACTAATGCAGCGCTACAAATTCCAAGCTAACGAAGTCACCAGTACCAGCTAGTTATAGATATAACTAAGTGAGATTGTTTGGTTGGTTGTTTGTGTGTTCGTACCTACGACTGGCGTCAGCTAGCCAGTCGAAATTCATAAAAAAAACAAACTGTAAGATTGAAACAGTTTCATGTATCACAATAAAAACTTTACTTTTCCTAATTTTTTTTTTATTAGGACTCCCGCATTATATCCTGAGTCGCGGGGGACTTTAAAACACATGAAATGGAGACAAAGAACCCCCAGACTCAGAACAACAATTTGTGGATCGCATAAAGTGTCGTCCCATGTGGGGATCGGACCCACAACACTCCGTAGTAGTTAGCGGCGTGGCGACCACTTAAACCACAAAACAGCTTATATAAAACAAAAAGCTTGTAAAAATCAAACTTACCTTTCGCCGGAACATATTGTCAATGGGACGAGAGATTAAGCGAGCGTGTTTCTCGTTCGCGATGTGCAATTTCTTCGCATCTAGAGCGATCAGCTTGTCGCACACCATACAGAGCACAACGGAGGAGCTTGCTGTAAAACTGTGAAATATATCCACGGTAATCTTCAGTATGTTGCCATTGGGCGCAGCCACCGTCAGATGGCAAGGATCATCCACTTTAATCCAACCACAAACATTTATCTTATATTTATCACGCATACTCTTGGCGTATACTTTAAATTCTTGGATTTCGCTCGACACGCCCCCGTTACCGACCACATTGTACGTTTGGTCTGTACTACATGTGTGCGGTTCACATGTATACGTCGCTGTGTCGTTGGTAGAAGTAGTAGGTTGCATTGCATTCAGTTCATTCTCTTTAGCTCTATTATGTTCAAGCAAAGCGAGTCTAGCTTCAGGCTGATGAGGGTTTAAACCTGAATCTACTTCATCATCCTCCACTTCGTAGAAGAGAATATCGTCAAGATCCTCACACTCCTCTCGTTTCTTGTCAATAAACATTTCAACGAAGCCGTTTAACGCGGACTCCTTGTCGGTAGACTTTAAATGTTCAACGGATAAGCCGTGCGCCAATTTTTGATCATCGGGAAGCACTCTGATACAGGATGTACAGTAAAACGAATTAAACGGCCTGTTTTTCATGATATCATGCGCGAGAAGAGTGTAATTACTGAAGAGGTTTTCTACGAACAATGCACTTATTTTTTTGTTATTCTGGTGTATTCTGCTCTGAGCATGTATCCTGAAATACGCCCTCGGAACAACCACATCGCACACGTGACAGTTGATCACATCCGCTTCTGTAATAGAACAATATACTTACATTAATTATTTATTTATTTTATTTTTATTTATTTATTAAATACTAATATTATAAAGCTGAGTTTATTTGTTTGTTTGGTTGAGAATCAGTTCAATTTGAACCAGTAGCTCCTGAGATCAGCACAATCTCTCAGGGACTACAGGATCGAATTAAAACATTTCTGTTGATGTCTTTTTCATAACATAGGATGGCAAACGAGCAGATAGGTCACCTGATGGCAAGTGAGAACCAACTAATATTATGACGTAACCTCTGTGCACCTATTTACAAGATTTCTTTCACCACTCAAAGGTCAACTAGGAGCTGGACATTCAGTCCGCCGATGTACATAAGTGCATAAAGTTAAATAAATAATGAAATGTCTATCAGCGGTGTGGTTGAGATTACCAGTGTACATATCTCCACATGTTGGGGTCAGATAACCGTGTGTGAAATGTGTTCAATACATCTCAACCAAACAGATTATATTGTTTTATTTTACAACTAGCTCCCCCGACACACGTCATTTTGACAAAGTTATTGGCCTGTTGCAGTTCAATAGAAAAATAACAATTAAAGATAACGTACTGAGCACTTTTTTCAACTTTCTTTTTTTAGAACGAAGTTCTTTATCGCGCGTTACACGCTCTGGGCGGATGGGAGCGAGACCGAAAATTGTGTAACAAGACATTTTGCCGACCGGGGGGGTCCGGGGACCCCTCAAGCCGTTTTTTTTTAGATTTGACAACTTCGCACTAGGAATAATTCTGTGTCGCGGAGGACTTTACAAACATACATGAAAGGGACAAAAAAAAAAACACCCAGACTCAGAACGACTATTTGTGGTTCACACAAAGTGTCTAGGTACTAGTAGGTGGCGGCGTGGCGACCGCGCGACCGCTTAAACCACGACGCCATCCGTGCAGAATTTTGGGCAGGCATTGATTAACAATATCCATACAGCTTAATCAACTTGAAGCATACCAATAACAATAATAAGGTCTATCTACAACAGGAGTTATACCTAAACATCTTCACAGCAGCCTTAAATTAATAACAGCTTGAAATGAATCCGTGTATTTAAACCTACAGAAAGCAGCATTATTAAAGACATGAACAGTAAGAAAGTTCATGGATATTGAAGAACTATCGTATTTTATTTACCGTTTTGACCCGTAAATAGTTTGAACCCACAACACTCGGCAGTAGGAAGCGGCGTGGTGACCGTTTAAACCACTACGCCATGCCATCCGTGCTGTCATTTTCAATTAACACACGGCAGTGTAATCCCAAACTAGGCAGATCTGTACCTTCTAAATACATATATTATAGATAAATTACACCCAGACACAGAACAAACGATCGTACTCATCACACAAATATTTGTCCTGGGTGGTTATCGAACCCACGACCTCCGGCTTAGCAGTCAGGGTGACTAACCACTAGACCAACAATGTTTTGTTTTGATTGACGTCAAGTTTTAGAGCTAGGGACATGTGTTTTAATATACTATGGGGTTTGTATGAGAAAAGAAGTGTTGTTTTTACGATTTTCCTCGCAAATTTCACGTTTTTTCTCCCCATAACAATCATCCTTGTGCCTTGACAAAAATACGAGAGAAGAAAGTTAGCCGAAGTTGCGCTTAGCAACACATTTGGCTGTTTATTTTTATACAAGAAGATAAATATAGAAGCCGTAACTGGCGATCTCATACAGACCATCGTAAACATCTTCGTCAGGCATATGCTTAGACACTACTCTTATATCGAAGACCGTCGTCTCCTCATCCAAAAATGTTTTCGAGATTAATACTCTCCTGCCCGTGGTTGGGCTCTGCAGGTGGGCTAACAACTCGTCCATGTCTAAGCCTGTTTCGCGTCTTAATGGCTCGCCGTGTTCGTGGCAACGAGACTCCAACCTCTCAAGCTAAAATAAAAATAAATGTATCTTTAAATAGTATGAACTAGCCACAACCACTAAACAACTAAGTCCTCTACTTAGATGTTTAGTGGTTGTAGAGTGCATCCAGGGATCTGTATGTGGAGCGACCTTCTGGAATCTGATTTTGGACGAACTACTGGACATGTCAGCCAGCTGCAGGCCTTTGCTGATAACGTCAATCTAATAGGCGTACACAAAAAGCTCATCACTCTCCGAAACAATTTTATTCAAAGGCTGAACTGGTGGAGATCGACTAGGTCTGTCAGTGGTTACACAAGCAACAGGTTGCTATAGCTTTTAACTCCAGGTCAGCTCTGGAAGACATCAGCAACACTTATAGCTAGTTGTATAGTATATATCTACTAGCCCTTTCATTTGTTACCCATATTGAGGGAGTTGTGAAAAAAACATGTAAGCCGCCATCCATTTTTTGCTAGCGCGGCGGCCATCTTAAACCGATTTTCATCCAACATAGCTAAGAACACTCCCGACTAGTTCACCTTTAAAACAAAAGAAAAAAAAACCGATTCTGTTTTTTTTCATCCGTTCGGGAGATACGATGCCACGGTCAGACACACACAAACACGTCAAACTTATAACACACCCGTCGTTTTTGCGTCGGTGGGTTTAAAACTTTACCTAGTAACTGTAATTAACCTGGGCCTCAATTCTGCTATTTTATGTTCACGCCAAGCCACTGTCATACCACTGACACGCTATTGAGATGCCATCGAGTGGCCATTGGCTTCGGTATAAATTTCGGTAGTCTACACTAACTCAGTGTCTTTATAGTGGCAGTGGCTCATCAGTGGTGATATCAAAAAGATTGTTATATTTGAAAAAAAAAAAAACACCTTATAATTCGAAAATATATTACGTTTTTTTGGGGAAATGATTCGTCAATTCATCACTTAACACTATCTATTCACATAAAATATCCCTATCTATTCACAAAATACCTATTTTCAACGTACACACACTCTTGAAAACCTGTATTACCTACTCTATAATTGAACTTCTTATTAACAAATACTATACAGTAGTGATGAAATAATTATAAATTATTACGGATTAATAGATCGGTTAAAGAAATTTCACGTCTACAATTAATTTGCTAACTGCTAATTAAGGATTTACAATTAAATATGAGTGTGAAGACTAATTATTTCATCACCACTTCTAACACTTGTCATTTACGAGATTGTTACGTAGCGAACATGTATTGCTGTGCGGCGACGCATCGCCATGTTGGAATTAATATTAATGTAGGTATTTAATTATTAATATAGTTACATTTTTGTTATTTCCTTACCTAAGCCACCATTTTCATGCTCATTATTTCTACAAAATAATTTCGATGATTACCCGTTTCGTTGTTTTTCCGCTATGAGCTAAATTTTTCGAGGTTTTTTGGGTTACCAGTTGCTATTGACTAGTATAATGTCGAGTTCTACATATTTTAAACATAATTTATTTCAACTTGTTATTTATTGGCAGAACCTCGCGCGGTCCATGTTTCATGTTCCTATGCCTATTTCGTACACGTGCTCAATTTAAAACCGCTTAAAGTACATAGGCATTAAGACCAGTGACTTTTCGTTTTAATTCATTTTGTTTTAAAATCTCCTGTTTAAGCACTATAGGTACCTATAATGATAGTAATAATAACCTATTTAACAGTTTATTTATGTACTTGCCAGTAATTACATAAATTAATAAGTATTGCACTTTTCATCGTAACGAACTATTCGTTTTATCCACAAATATCTCAAGGTTTAATATACTCGTACATGGAAATGTAGAAGAACTTGCTTAATGCAATAATGGCGGTATTTCAGCATACAACTACATAATATATTGCACTGTCCATTGTTACGAGCGCTTCTTTATTCAAAATTACCAACGATTTCGTTGGTAATTTTGAGTAGTATCTAGTGAGATTTAATATATCAACAAGACAAATATAATTCTATGATATTTTCAGACAATTACCTACCTACCTGTTTAATACAATATTATTTCATTATGCAATCATTATTACAATTAACATACAAATACCATATACATGTAATATATAACTGTAATCTAGAATATCCATGGCTATTTATCCTATAACGATGTAATAGTTTTAATGATCACGATATTATACAAAAATTCAGGTATAACATACGAAGACCACACCTACATGGAAGGCATTAGCGTTTATTCTAACATTATCTTATATTTTCTACTTACCAATCGTAGAAAAAAATAGAACTGCGGTCAACCACTTTACAATAAAGGTAAAAGTAGGTCACAAAAAATAGCCGACTCCAACAGTCGTAGCTTTTGCTATTTACTCCTATACCAAAAAAGCAACTCACCACTGACGAAGTAACGACTAAAAGAAAGAAGATTTTGAAAAAAACGTCAATCTGTGTACCATACCATAAATCATAGAAAACAATGATACCAGAATTAATGAACTGAATTAATTATAAATATTATTTTTCACGATTTAATGTAAACAGACACAGTTTTTTTTTGTGCTTATATTTTTCAGATAATATCAATTATCATGCACTAATCTCTAGAACTATGTATTACATGTTATTAATTTATAAAGAGGGTATTTGGTTAATATGGATTTATACAGTTTGTTGATCGTGGCTCCTGCTGATAAAACTTGCTGAACTTTATAGAAAGTTTTACAGAACTATCAAGATTTAACTGAATTTTTCATTTGTGTAAGACGGACTCATTTTTCTACGAAATTAAAATTCTTTTCGTGAAGGTCACACAATTATGTTACTACCAAAAAAATATGTTGGCATGTGTCTAAGTCTTTGACCGAGTAATTATACCATCGTGTTTGAAACTGTAGATGGACGTTAATAAACAAATAAATGTGAATGATTGTTTGTTACGTTTTCAAGCCTAACTAAGATTTGATTAGGTAATAAAGTATAGTATAGGATATAGGAAGTACAACGTCAAGTGTATATACAGGATCGTTTATCAGGATGCTTAATTTTTTTTTAAATCTTAGTCAGCGCGAGCGGCAAAAGCAAGTCGTTATGAAATATGGATACCTCTCACAAAATATCTTATAGACTGTTAACCCTAACTATAATATATATTTTGAAAAAGGAGAAACGAGAAGATTGCAATACCTAAAGTATAAAATACTAGCGATCCACCCCGGCTTCGCACTAGTGCAATGTGAATACTACTAATACTACTAATGTGGTGTCAGTGTGGAGTAATTAATTATACTATCATTATGATTGGACTATACTACAAGACATCTTCTTTATATGCAATATTTCCACGTTTTCGATTCATGGGTATTTAGGTACTCGCGGCTGTATTGTACGGTACCAAATACCTTTCTCTCTCGATAACTCATTAAAATATTCTCACCAACACATATGACATTTTCCTATTACGCATCTGGTGTAGTCAGTACTCGTATTTAAAGGCAATATATTGAATTTGATGCCATTACAATATACTTCTTTTGCTAATTGGTCAACAATATCGCTCACCCTAATGCCAACATATGGGGGAATCCATTGCAGAACAATTTTCCTACTTTGTGATTGAAAATTTAGAATTTACTGACTTTATGTTATACTATGTAAAGATATATTTGCATGTTTTCCTCCGACAACCTTTATACATCACAACAGAATCCATGCTTATATTATAAATGTGAAAGTGAGTTTGTTTGTTAGTTTGTAAGCTTCCACAACTAAAGCACTAAACCGATTTAAAAAAAATCACCAACGGAAAGTTATATATTATCGCTGAGTAACATAGGCTACTTTTTACTGCGATAACTGACATGCTCGTGGGTGGAGCCGTAAACAAAAGCTAGGATGATAAAATTACAAACTTCATCAAATTATTTAGTAATTTCACTGTGAAAAGGTTACCATTTATAATATAACATAGAATATAATCTTTGCCAACGCATGTATTTCAGTAATAGAATATTATTATTATTTTACATAAATTCTGGTCTCGAACCGAACGATTGCGTAACATAACTATTCAGCTAACGCCAGCTTCTGTTAAAAACTTTCAATTGTGAATTACGTGACTTATACGAGCTTATAAATCTTTTCATCCTGCTCATGACACAATGATTTCTCCTGGGTGGGTATGGAACCCACGACCTCTGGCTAGTGGTTGGAGATCCTGACTAGCAGTCAGGATCTCCAAAAATAATTAAAAAAACTGTAATTACAGGATCTGGATATTTTTGTGATGTTAACGAAATATTGCCTAATGTAACACAACAAAGAAAAGTAAATTATAAATAAATTTACCTAAATTCATAAGTTACTTGTGGTAGAAATGTCAACCGGTGTTACCAAACAAAGTCGTGTTTATCGTTTGCTCTGGTAAGAATCCCCTTTCGATCTGAAAAGACACCTATCCAAACCGGATGTCGTGCATCCTATTTTGGCTATGATCTCACGTCGGCGAGGCATTGGATAGATATTGCGTTGTAGGTACTACAAAATCAAATTATTCCGTTTGAATATGTTAGGTACGATCCTTTTTTCCATTTTTGTCAATATTTATGAAAAAATGTAAAACGCTTACTGGTATAAAAATTATGATTCCATTAAAAAATATAATTCGTTTTGCTTTCCATACCCAAGTTCTAACAGGAATCTAATAAATATTAGAAAACATCTGTATTTTACAAGTCAAATACAAGTCGTAGTTACATAAATTAAATTAGACAATTAAATAATCAAAGAAAAGAATATGCTAATATTATATTAATCATCTATAATTATTTTAAAAAAGTTAAATTTTAAAGTGAAGGGCTTTTATAATTAATTCGGGTACTTCAGTTTACCATTTAGCTTATACCTACCTACCTACGAACTTGAAACCGAATGGAAATGGCGGTCGAATTTCGCCTATTTTAAATGCTTTCTTTTATTATGATGATAAGTCATAATGCTGAAGGCATTTATTTTATGCCGCTTTTACATTATTTTCTAATAACATTTAGTTTTGTCTACTTTTTCTTACATTAACATGTAAAAGTATTCCAAATATTACATTGTTTATTTATTTATTATTATGCTGCCGCCATATTTTGTTAAAAAGGGATATATACCTATGTATGTGCCTTACATGTACCTCAACACACGTAAGTATATCAAATGTTAATAATCTAGTACACTATGTTATACCTAATATTAATAGCCACTACATATATAGTTGACGTTACTAAACATGTGATAGAGATCCCTTCAAATTTTAGACATTTCTTTTCTCAAGCTGTTTCGGCAGGCGAAACGTTTACAAATTTTTTTGCTAAACATGAGCTTCTAGTGTTAAGGTCTCCTCTAAGTATAACATAGATACTGATATATAATAGAACTGTCAATTGTAATGTGTCCGTGTGGTGACGGATTAAGAATACAGTGTCACCAGCCCTCATTGAGTTAAAACAAGTATTATATCAATGCCAGCCCTATTCATCAAGTGGGTGTCGTAAGAGCCGACTAAGGGAGAAAACTACGCAGAACAACAGTACTGCAGAGAGAAGGAAAACTTGACACAAACCCCATACCATCCCGTCTGGCCAGCGTGGTATAGTAGGCCAAAACCTTCTTTCTAAGGTGAGGCTTATGTCCAGCAGTGGACTATTAAAGGCTGTTGATGGGAAAGTTAGGCTTAAAAGACTATAATTTGTAATTAATTTTCAGTCCCGCAATTGATAAACAAACTCTTTGAGGGTTTGAGTGACTACCTACGAGTACTTAAATAAAACATTTATTTATTATTTATACATGATTGATTACAGCTAAAGTCGACGTCACGTCATCACAGTTTGGTAGTGTGTTTAAATAAAGTTGAGTGCACGGAGCAAATAAAAAGAGGAGGTGCTGTAATTAGATTTTACTATGAAACAAAGACTGACAATTTGCGGGGTGTGGGGGAGTTCTCCTCCCCCCTTTTCACTTTTGCCCATTTACCAAATGATAGCATAACTACTCGCATCTTTCCGTGTCGATAATTATTTAGTTTGGCTATTTCACGGGCGCTTGTAGATCGGCACAGGCATATCATAGATTTTGTATAAGTTTACTTTTGTTAAATTTATTTGCTTACTATGTGACAAAACAGAGATTGTTGCTATTGTGTGTGTTGATCTATGACTTCAGAGTCGATTTCAAACAATTTTATGAAATAAAGAGAGATTGAGTTTGAAATTTTACACAAACACAGATTGTATTATGGACTAGGATCCCCGCACTTTTGTTTCTTTTTCTTAAAATGAATGATTTTTTCCCGTTTTTGCAAAATTTTCATTGATGATCCCAGGCACTACTACTTTGTAAGTGTAGGATATAAGGGATGTACTTAGAATTTTCGTACCAGTGAGTTTTTTTTAAGACTTATTTTCTGAACCATCTTGATACTTACTTCTATTGCAAAAATCTTACTGATATTAGAATCGTACTAACCTTAACCGGATATTATTAACCGGATAGCGAAAGTTTAAGTGTTCTTTCGTTCTCGTTGCTTATCCCACGCTATGTACTGTGTATGTGTTATTTTTCACGCTAAAACGGCTGGACGGATTTGGATAAAATTTGGTATACAGATAGATTTTTACCCGGACTCATAGACGCTGAGTATTGCTAGTGTTAGAATAAAAACGTTTTTTAATGGGACTAATCCCACCCACACGCCCACCACTGTAACTCCTGTACACCAGGATCCACAGCAGTGACCCACGAACACACCGAGTTATGACACTCGGGAAGTCCCAGGAAGAAATTAAACTGTCTTGGAACCCGCAACGAAATTAATCAGAAGAAAATTGGAGGAGTTGGAAATACAGTAAATCCACTTCCAATAAAAACGTTTGTGGTAAATTACGAATAACGATTAAAATTTGTTTTCTTATTTATTCTTGTTTTGTCTGTACTTAGGTCTTTTTGTCCTATCGTCACCCCACTACGGAGAAAAATAGTGTTATGATTTTTTGCCCATAGTTAAGTATACATAATATTTTGTGGGAAAACAAATAATGAACAACTTATAATAATGAATTGAATCTTATTTACAAATCAAATAAAATATTATATTTCAAATTAGGCATCTGAAGATGCGTTTGAACGTCAATCTGAGAAAAAACCCGTCTGCTCGTTTGCCCCCTATACCATAAAAAAAGCCAACCCTAAACAAAGCTTAAAATAGCGTAGAGGACATCGGCGCCTATACCAGACGTACCAGAAGTACTTTATTGGATTACATATGATTCCAATTTCGGCCGTGTCTTTTTGTTCTGTTTATGTATGCTTTTCTAGTTTTCTAGATGACAGTCTGTTCACAAAACCACTTACAAATGAAATGCATGGCATCCATAGCAACAAAACGACTATTCGAATTATTTTAACATAATAAAATATAGCGGTTTGCGATTTTGCGACACGAGCGCACAGTACGGACGCTGTGTGTACTAATTTTAAGCCACGCTCTGTGATGACGTCAGGACCTACTTAGAATTACATCTTACATCCCAGTGCACAGTCGTGAAACCTGCAATTTTTGATATCATTTGTAACGTCAGATGTAGAACAAATAAAATAGCACCAAGGTAAGAGCCTTGAATCACACCCCTAATTTTGGATATTGATGGAGATAGCTGTGTGTGGGAAGATAAAAACATAACAAGTTCGAATCAGTTTTTTTATTTATTTATTTCATTTTTGAAGTTCCCTCCTTTGGAATCGATTTTATATAAGGCGCTCGATATGAAAAAAATATGAAGAGTAAAATTTAGTGATCGAATGACCTCGTAACGTTTTTTGTTGGGAACCTATAGTGCGCACCTTTCACATGTGTGTGTATATCTTGTATACCTGTGTGCAGCCGAATCGTTCTCAAGAAGTAAACTCGAGTCGTGCATCGGAGCAGGCACAAACACTTTTATTTTATGGAAGAAGAGGCAGCCGAGTAGACGGGTCACCTGATGGAAAGTGACTACCACCGCCCATGAATGCCTGCGGCTCTTAAGTCATAAGCACGTTGCCTGCCTTGCAGGAAGGAGTACGCTTTTTTCTTGAAGGTTTGAAGGACGGTCCATTTTTAATGAGTTTATTGTGCGTCTCGTGTCTGCCAAGTGGGGCGACGCTTGCCCTTCATGTGTATGTACTTGACGTGCGACAGCATGGAGTGCTTCTGCGTGAACTTCGCCGAGCAGTGCTCGCACTCGAACGGCCGCTCGCCGGAGTGCGTCCGGATGTGGTTCGCCAGGATACGATTGGTCTGAAAAAAAATTTTTGGTGACTAACTGACTCAAGAGTGAAAGGTCTCCCCCTCCCCAGCATCTTCAGCTCCTCCCATAATATGTGCCGGATCATGGCTCTCCCACGAAATACAAGTATTCTAATATTTAATACAAAAACAAATGCAAGTATGTATGTTTCTGCATTTTTTCGCTTCAACGAACTAACTGATCAACGTAAAATTTTGCCTTTGGTGTCTGTTATGTAAGAAAAACTCGTAATGGGGGGGGAACTTCTGTCCTCTATCACCTTACATTCGCTACGAAATTACTCGCTCTCTCCAAGATCTCTTTGTCCAAGCTCACTTCTATCTTTATATCAAAATTGATTTAGCTGTTTAGGCGTAAAAACGTGAAACATGGATGAATTTACTTTCGCACTTATGTTAAGTACAGATCAGGATCTGTATAAGAGTTGTGTATCTGTAAAGTTAAGAGAAAAGGCACAGCTGTACCACGCTTCCGCTGAAACTTTCATGATTTGATTTCAAAACTATTTTCCATAGAAATAATTAGAAATTTAAATATTAAATAGAAATCTTGAGGGTCTTTTATAGTACCGTGTGTCGAATTCCATATTCAATAAAAAAAACATACTGCAACGCCATCTGACGAAGACAAACCTAACTACGGAATAACTAATAATCCTGGTTTGCTCTATGAAAGTTCTCGTGATTATTAGTATATATCATCAACAGCCTTTCATAGTCCACTGTTGGACAGAGGCCTCTCCTTAGTAAGGAGGTTTTGGCCTACTCCCTATCTACCTACTACCATGCTAGCCAGACGTGTTGGTATGGGGTTTGTGTCAAGTTTGCAGTGCTGTTGTTCTGCGTAGTTTACTTCCTTAGTCGGCTCTTACGACACCCACGGGATGAATAGGGGTGGTGACACTCGGTATTCTTAATCCGTCACCACACGGATGACTATTACTATTATATAGTATAACAGCTTTTACCAGCGACTTCGTCCGCGCGGTGGTCGCCATGAGACATCGCAGAGGATACCCAAAAATAACAAAGTTTCATATAAATTTCCAAACCCCCCTTTTGCATCCTTGAAGATGGAATTTTTTAAAATCCTTTCTTAGTGCACATCTACGTCAGCTAAGGAACATTTGTGCGTAATGCCATGCTTCTGGACCCAGCGGTACCAGCTGTACGTTGATCGATCAGCCAGTGTAACAGTCTGTCAGTTTCTTCTTTTATAGATACCCGCGTTTGTTGTTATAACCGCGGGCAACGCCGCGGGGCGAAGCTAGTCTAAAAAAAGTAGCCTAAGTTACTCCGTATGTCATCAGCTATCTGACATCTAGACAAAAATTGTAAAAAATGTTATTTTGGCATATGTACCGTGTAAACATACACATGCATTTAGTAAAAAGCGGTTATTTTAATATTACAAACAGACACTCTAATTTTATTTATTTGTCTTGATATACAACTAGGTACACAAAGTAATGATTAGGGCGTCACCCGCCAGTGGTGGCCACCTCCTGGTCTTACGTGACCTCTCCGCCCTCCCCTATGCCGGGAGGGAACAGATACTGACCGCGAACCCTCGGCCGCAGACGTTGCACAGTTTGTTCCTCTCCTTCTTGGCTCCCTCGTGGTTGTATCGCACGTGCTCCACGTAACGGGTGCGGTTAAGGAAGTGCTGCGCAAACAACATATACAATTTATTTAAATATATTAATCCATACTAATATTATGTTTTTTTTTTATGGTATAAGGGGCAAACGAGTAGACGGGTCACCTGATGGTAAGCAACTACCGCCGCCCATGGACACCTGCGACTTAAAAGTCACAAGTGCTTTGCTGTCCTTGGAGTCCCTCCCGCTCGAGTCAGCGATTTGGGCTCCGGTAACCTCACTCACTCAGCGAAAGGCAACGAAAGAATTGTTAAACACTGAAAATGAAAGTGTATCTGTCTGTCTGTCTGTTACCTCTTTACGCTTAAAATGTCGGTCTGTCTGTTACATCTTCACGCTTAAAACGCTAAACTGATTTAATTGAAAGGTGCTTTGAGTCAAGGGAAACTACATAGGATAGTTTTTATGCCAGAAATCATCCTTTAAGGGGGTGAAAAAGGGGATTGGAAGTTTATATGAGGAATCAATAACCGCTGAACCAATTTATCTGAATTTATGTCTGGAGAGATTTTGATTAATTAATAAACTCTTTAATAAAGTATCAGCCACTTCAAACCGAAGAATATACTTAAAAAAACGCCTTTTGGTCTAGTGGTTATTGAGCGTGACTGCTAAACCAGAGGTCGCGGGTTCGATTCCTACCCAGGACAAATATTTGTGTGATGAATACGATCGTTTCTTCTGTATCTGGGTGTTATATATCTTTAATATGTGGTATGTATTTAGAAAAAAACCGGTCAGATACGAGTCGAACTCGTGCGCCGAGGGTTCCGTACCTACCCAGATTTTACATAAATTTTCGCGAAAATTTGTAAGTGCCAAAATTTATCTTAATTTTCAACTTTTTTATTTTTTGGAATTATTCCTTTATTTGTGCTGTAGGACGTTTCTTTTTGCCAAATTTCGTGATTCTAGGTCAACGGTAACTACCATATAGGTTTTCGACTCAAAACCTATAGGGCACTTCCGGTTGACCTAGAATTGTCAATTTTGGTTGTCAGTAAAGAGAAAATTCTGAAAAATAAAAAAAGTTGAGAATTAAGGTAAATTTTAGTACTTACAAGTTTTCGCGAAAATCGAAATTTGCTAAATTTGCCAAACAACTTCGAAATAAGGTGTTAAAATTATTCCAAAAATTCAAACATTCGATTTAACGCTTATATTGTGGGACAACTAATTATTGAATTATCGTCGTGACAATCAACATGGAGGATGGCTTACGGTAATGAAACACTACATGTTAAGAGGTGCACTGCAGACACATTTAGACACCAATATCTACACTTTTTGGGTTGATTGTGTGGCTTACTGGAAGTGGTGTTGTGTATACTAGTTGATAGCTTCATGTGTGATGTCCGAATTACTTTTCACTTAATATCTTCGATAGATGCATACTAAATTATATTCTGTAAATAATATTTAGACTGTGTTACTCTAAGAATATGGAACTTAGTTATGTTTTATTTTATATTAAATAAAATATTATTATTATTATTTATTTATATTACTTTAGAAAGATTCCTATCGTTATTCTCATTAGTATTTGTACATTCGCTTACATGAGAACTTATACACTAATAACTATGCGTGGGTAACAAATAAATATTACGTGACAATAATATATGACAATATTTTGTTTTTTTTTAATGTCCTTTTTTTTTGGTTTTGTTGTTGTAGGTAAGTTATTTGAACTGTTGTTTCACACTTGGAATCTATTTGCGAATACCTGTGAATAGCTTCGGTTTTACTTTATTGTAATGTTTGACCTTGCGTTATTTATGCTGTTGGTATTCTGAACAAAAAAAAAGAAAGAAATAATAATAAAAAATGTTTGAAATAATTACCTTTTACCGATTTTAACAACAACATCCTCAAACAATATCAATGCAAACAAAATTGTTTATAAATATGTGGTTAATCTTATATATAAAATTCTCGTGTTACAATGTTCGTTCCCGTACTCCTCCGAAACGGCTTGACCGATTCTCATGAAATTTTGTGTGCACATCGGGTAGGTCTGAGAATCGGCCAACATCTATTTTTCATACCCCTAAATGGTAAGGGTGACCCATCCCTAAATTTTTTTTTAGGCAAAGCAACGTTTGCGGGGTCAGCTAGTAACCTTATATTTAACAAATTTAAATAAAGGAGGGTAGACATACAAAGGCAGTTCTACTGACTTAAATTTTAATAACTTATTCAATGCATACATTACAAAGTTAGTGAAACATTAGACGCGATAAGTAGTTAACTAACAAGTTCAAGTGCCTTAGTGGGATCGATTCCCCGACCGGGTAAAATTTTATAGGGTTTTTCTGAAAATAAATTTTAATAAATTTGAAAAAAGCGTGGGGTGCTTTTTACTATTGGCAACAGGCACCCAACACTTTTTTTTCAAATTTATTTTCTATTTTTTAGTTTGGTTTTCTATAAAAAGCGTGTTTTTTAGTTTTTTTAACTATTTTTTTTAATATTTTTTTTTTAAATTAGTGTATTGTCACCGGTCCTCGATATATCTACAAAGTTTGAACGAATTCTGACCGTTTAAAGTCAGTCAAAATCACGCCCAAATGAGTCGGTTACAAACAAACATACAAGTGAAGCTAATATAAAGCTTGTAAAATAGCTTATGTTACTCCTTATATAGACAGCTACATGGTAGTAAAATAGATTCAAAATCGGTCATGCCGTTTTGAGGATTACCCGGAAGAAACAGACAGATAGACAGACAAAAAATATATAATATATAATATTTTTTTGCTTCTTTAATAGAACTTGGTAAATTATTAAATAGTTGAGCACTCGCATAGGAAATATTCGGTTAGCCATAGTTAGCTCGAGGAGGGCGCAGTAATTAATTATTAATACACCGCAGTCGCCTTAATTGATTATCCTCACATTTTAATTTATGTAATTATATTTATTTTTGTTTTTTAATAATAATAGCTTCACACATCTCACACACGGCCCTCTGATCCTAAACCAGAGAGAGCCAGTACTATGGTAACCAGACTGCTGATAAACATTTTTTTTATGTTAGAGGGGGCAGACGAGCAGGGTCACCTGATGGGAAGTGACCATCGCCGCCCATGAACGTCTGCAACTCAGGAGTCACAAAGGAGTACGCTCTTTTCTTGAAGGTTTGAAGGCGGCTGGTATTAGTGCGAACAATTCCTCGCAGCACTCTCCATGATATATGCGATAGAGAATGCAGAGTGAAACCACATCTCTACGTAACGCCAAGGGATTGAGCCGATTGGAGATGTTTAAAAAAATGTACATAAAAAAGAAAAAAGAAAAGAAACTTACGTATATATTTCTAAATACATACATATTATAGATCATTTCATTTCATTGGTTGGTGGTTGGGTGGTTGGATGGTTGGTTGGTTGCTTGGGTGGTTAGTTGGGTAGTTGGGCGACGCAGCACCGGGCCCTCACTGCAGTCATCGGAGCAGATCTCTCGCTACCGGCCGTAATTCGCTCCATGGCCGGTAGCGACAGTTGTTTTACCGCGGTCGCAACCTTCTGCGAGGAGGTAATCTCGCAGAAGGCGGCGGCGGAGAAGCCCAGGCTGGGTAGTTGGTTGGGTGGTTGGTTGGTTGGTTAGTTGGTTGGTTAGTTGGTTGGGTGGTTGGTTGTACTTACCCGGTCGCAGTGCGAGCAGTAGTATTTGGACTGGTTCATGTGTACGTGTCGGTAGTGGTTCATCATGTAGGCTCGCCGCGAGTACAAATTGCCGCACTCTGGACACGGCACCTTCTTGACCCTGCGGACACACCCTACGCTATTAGTATTGACTGCCTAACAGAAAACCGGTATTGAGCATTCCTTTCATTACGTTTCAAGAAGTTACCGGAGACCTAAGCTCTTCTTCTTTTTTTTAATGACCAACCACCCCCCTCTCCCTCCTGCAGAGTTTGGGAGAGTACACTCAGAGGGAGGCGGCACACTTGTGTTCCTTAAAGTTGCAAGTGTACAACGGGTCATTTACGTCCAGGTAAAGTTATTAATTTCTTCACATCACATCACAACAACAGCCTATAACAGTCCACTGCTGGACATAGGCCTCTCCTTAGAAAGGACGTTTTGGCCTACTATACCCCGCTGGCCAGACGGGTTGGTATAGGGTTTGTTTCAAGTTTTCCTTCTTTCTGCAGTGCTGTTGTTCTGCGTAGTTTTCTCCCTTAGTCGGCTCTTACGACACCCACGGGATGAATAGGGGTGGTGACATTACGTATTCTTATTCCGTCACCACACATTAATTTATTAGAAAATGCATTTTTTTTTTGTATTTGTATTACGAGTAGGTATATGTATTGTATATACGAGTATGTCGGTTATCGCAGCCAAAGGTTGCCATGTCCTTTCTCAAGAATCAAATTATCTTTACAATAAAGTTCAGCTAAATCTTTTCAGAGGTTATCGATGTCCCATACAAACTTCCACCTCTATTTTCAGCCCCTTAAATGATGATTTCTGGTATAAAAACAATTCTTTGTCCTTTCACGGGATTCGAACTATCTCTAATGATAAATTTCATCTAAATCGGTTAAGCGTGAAGAGAAAACAGATAGACAGATAGACGCATTTCACATTTATAATATTAGTATAAATGAGGATATTCACTAAGTAACATAATGTGTCAATAGAATCTTAATACGGAATATGGAACAACCGAAATATGTACCTACAAAAAGACCCCATATACGTCGGCGCGCCGGATTCAATGTGTTCCTAATATTGAATTGAGTTTTGGCTGGTTTATTTCAGGGCTCGCAGCCTGCCTCACGTTAAGCCTCGTCCCCATCTGCTCGTTCGCCGCCTGGTCCAAAAACAACGGTCCATTATTGTCGACTTACGAGCTGGCGGTCTCGTGCGCGTGCGCGGTGGCGTCTCGCAGGTGGCGGCGGTAGACGGGCGCGCTGTGGAACTGCTTGTCGCAGAGCACGCAGTACGCGTCCTCGGGCTTGGCCCCGCGCGCCGCGTGCTTGGCGGCGTCGTGCTTGCGCAGCGCCGAGCGGCTCGCGTACTCGCGCCCGCAGCGACCGCACGAGTGGCGCTGCGAGTGGCTACTGCGCACACGCACACACAACGATACATTATAAAATTACATATTATAAAATGCAGTCCACCGGCCGCGTCTTTCTGTATGAACGCGATAAACTCAAAAACTACCGAACGTATTTTCGTACCGTTTTCACCAATAGATAGTGTGATTTCTGAAGAAGGTTTAAGGAACCGGTTATCGTCTGCGGTATTTCCGGACCGATACGACCTTCAAACCTTCAAGAAAAGAGCGTACTCCTTCCTAAAAGGCCGGTAACGTGTTTGTGACTCCTGAGTTGCAGACGTTCATGGGCAGCGATGGTCACTTTCTATCAGGTGACTCGTCTGCTCGTCTGCCTCCTCTAACATAAAAAAAGGATATAATTCATGATGGTTTTATGAAAATTGACTAAAATATAACGATTATTGTTGAAGAGATCGCAAAAAATCTTGTGCTATATAAACAGGGCGTAAAACGGATCACGGTTACCGAAATCCACTCGGGCGGAGCTGCGGGCGGAAGCTAGTTAATATTATATGGCACTTCTTCTACTTAAGAACATGTGGGGCTATGTTAAGGACAGAGTCTATACGGAGCCAATCGAATCGATTGCAGCCTTAAAACTCAAAAATCCGTGATGTGATTAACGAAATAGACCCGCCATTTTGCCAAAAAGTGATTAAAAACTTTGATGAAAGAATCGACATCTGTCAGGGTGCTCGTGGTGAACATTTACAAGCTATCATTTTTCATTCATAATTGCCAAACTTTTCTCTACGTAATACAATAAAAATTTGAATAATCTTTATCTAAATTGTTTATTTTATTTTGTTTTAGAAAACAAAGTTCTTGTTGAAAACCCCTTTATAAAGCTGAAAAGTTTATTTGTTTGTTTAGTTGGACGCGCTAATCTCAGGAACTACTGCTGTGAATTTAAACATTATTTTAATGTGAGTAAGCCTATAGGCTATTTAACATCACGCTACGAGAAATAAGAACAGAGCATCAATGAATGAAGTTACAAAAACAGCGAAAATTTAATATTTGGAGAAATGCAGAATAAATAAAAAGAAAGGTGTATATGTCAGCTCCGACTGGAGTTCACTCTTTAAAAATGATTCTAAAAAGTGAAAGGTGCGCATGATAGGTTAGAGCGAGGTCATTCGATCACTAAATTTTACTCTTCAAATTATTTTATACCGGCTTTATATGAAAATCGATCCTTAAGGAGTAAACTCGTATCCCTTTCTAAACAAATATGGCGTAATGTTCTTAAGTAGAAGAAGTGCCTTAAGCTAAAATTTTCAACGGCTGGAAATGGCTACACAAAACTATAGGGTCCACTATATCTTTGAACTTGTCATGGTATAAAAGCTTAAATCATGAACGCTCAAGTTATGGTGGCTAATGAACAAAACAAGATAGTAAAAATACCGATCTCTTTTCTTTGTTTAAAATGACAACCACCGCATTAAGAATATATCCTGTGTCGCGGGGGACTTTACAAACATACATGAAACAGACACAAAGAACACCTAGACTCAGGACAACAATTTGTGGATCACATAAAGTGTCGTCCTATGTGGGGATCGAACCCACAACACTCAGTGTGGCGACCGTTTAAACCACTACACCATTCGTGCGGTCAGTCTGCAGATAGAGTATATATTAACTAAACTAAACTGCAGTTCAAGTTATTCGGTTGATAGTCGGTAGGTTTGAATTATTTGTTTTTTCACTCCGCCCGCGTGTGTGTCGGTTATCGTGGTAAATAGTAAACTATGTTACTCGCTGATATTGTCACTTTGCATAGGTGAAAGAATTATTAAAATCGGTTCAGTGGTTTAAGCGTGAATGATAACAAACAAACATACATACTCACTTTCAAATCTATACAAATAAATTAAATTGAAGCGTCTGTTTGTAATGTCAAATAATAGGTTTTTTTTTTATAATTACATCGTTAGTTGCTTTTTACCCATACGTATCGTGTATGGGTAAAAACCGGTTTAAAAGTTTTTGTCTGTCTGTTTGTTTCGGGTAATCTTCTAAACAACTGGACCGATTTTGATAATATTGTACTACCAGGTAGCTGTATGTATAAGGAGTGACTTAGGCTTATTTTTCCTCTCAGAATAACCTTCTAAAATTTTGCCCGGTCCGGGAATCGAACCCGAGTTCTCATGGACTGGAAACGAGTACCGCTGGTGGCGCTTTTCAAATTCCAAGCGAACGAAGTCGCGGGCATCAGCTAGTTCAAAATATAAGTATGGAAGCGTGGATTATTCTAATTATTTACAATAATATTTTGATTGTGTTGCAATTAGAGGATTCGATCCCGGTCGATTTTTATAATCCCGGGATTTCGGGATTATCTACAGTTAATCTCGGGATCCCGGGATAGTCCCGGGATTGTATTGGCAATGGAAAGTAGTAACAAAAAGACAGTAAAACATATCAAAATATTTTTTGTTTATCATTTAGTTTTGTGAGGACATAGAATATTTAAGTTTTAAATCTCCAAAAGGCGGTTAAACAAAATTATACTTTCTTCTTATATATGAATACTTACACGACGTGAAGCGGGAATTTTTAACACACTTTTACGCATAATCCAGTACCGGTCGTTAGCAAAAACAAATTATATTAGCTGTGTAAACAAGATGGCTGTCAAAACGTCAAATCAATGCAGGTGCGTTTCTTTTTACGCACATTTTTATTGGCTTATGTAAAATATGCATCAATCACGAAAATCCCGGGATTCATTAAATTTGATCCCGAAAATTTCGGGACCTAAATATGACCGGATGAGGATTCGATCCCGGGATCGAATCCTCTAGTTGTAATGTAATTAAAATATAAATTTTCTTTCGTTCTTCCTTTCTATTATTACTTATTCATTTCCTATATTTTCTAGAAATAATTTACTTCCGTGTGGTGACGGATTAAGAATACAGAGTGTCACCACCCCTATTCATTCCGTGGATGTCCTCAGAGCCGACTAAGGAAGCAAACTTCGCATTACAACAGCACTCCAATAAGAAGGAAAACTAGACACAAACCAAAACGTTGTGTAGTAAGCCAAAACCTCCTTTCTAAGTTGAGACCTATGTCCAGTAGTGGATTATTAAAGGCTGTTGATGATGATTGATGATCTATACACATGAGCCGGTTAGTCCCATTGGTGCGCTCACCTCATGTGTTTCTCCAGCATGTACTTGGTCTTGCACCGTTTGCCGCAGTGGTCGCACTCGAACACGCTGTGCATCTCTCGGTAGTGCTTGCGAAACTCACGCACGTTCCTGCAATTACATTCCAGACGTAGAAGGGGATACTTTGTCTTCCTTTTTCCGAACTGACTTCAAAAAGGAGGATGTTAGGATGTTATGATATGATATATAAGTTTTTTTTATGTATCTTCGGGCACAACTTTGTCGTATATAGATGGATTTTTGTAATTCTTTTAAAGTGAAAACTTCTTTAGGCGCGTTGGGCATTTTTGAGATGGGAAACAACCATTGAACTCGCGACACTGTTACCGTTACCGACACCTACACTATTACTTATATACTTACTCTACATATATTGGCCTCGTAAAATACATTGATAATATAACTACAGTACAATATGGATATATATTCATTTCAGAACTTTTCGGTTTGAAAAAAACAAAAAAATCCTGTTATAATCAGAAAAAACTAAATTTTCAAGTTTTCACTTCTGACGGCACTCCGGAGTGCCACTGGTTTTTTTTTCTTCGAAGAGGGGTTTATGTCAAAATTGACCCATTTAAATTTCATATAGATCTGATGATGTGTTTCGGGGACTGACAACGGAACTCTTTAATAAAATGACAGCAAATCAAACCGCGATTGCTGCTAGGTTTTTAGTAGTATTGTTTGAAGTCGGTTCAACTTTTTTTAAAATGATTTTCTTGTATTTAAGATTATTAAGTAAATTTTGCTACACATAATCGTAAAAAATCGTCGTCCAGGATGGTTGGCGCTCTTTGGGGGAGGCCTTTGTTTACCAGTGGACTAAAGAGAATCGTAGAAGAGCCACGCTACGGTACAGATGGGCTGGTTTGAAAATAGTGCTAAAACAGCTTCACAGAAAACCAGGATTAAGCAACTCCTTTGCTTTTCACCGAGTCTGTGAGGTTACTGGTGCCCAAACCACTGACTCTGGAAGGGGAGGGGCCGCAAAGGACTGCAAAACCCTTGTGACTCCCGAGCTGAGAGTGTTCATGGATGGCGGTAGTCCACTCAGGCCACTTGTCCCCTCATTTGCCACGCCATAAAAGAGGGTTTCCTTTCCATAATTTCTTGAGACTGCACGGATGGCCTAGTGGTTTAAGCGGTCACCTCGCCGCTTTTTAATGCACTGAGTGTTGTGGGTTCCCTCCAAACGAAGGAAAACACTGTGTGATCCACAAATCGTTATTCCGAGTCTGTGTGTTCTTTATGGCCGTTTCATGTGTGTTTGTAAAGTCCCTTTACAGGGTATATTCCTAGTCCGAGAGTTGTCTGAGGAATAAAGTACTCACGGGAGACACAGGCCACAGTAGACGCACTGGACCAGTTTGTGCGTAAGCATGATGTGCGCGTTCAGCCGCCGCAGTGTGTAGCACTCGAAGCCGCAACGGGCGCACGCTCGCGCGAACATGTGCTCGTGGACATGGGCCTCTAGCGAGTCCTCTGTAGGGAAGCGCGCCCTGCACGTGGGGCAAATGTGTGGACCAAGAGTCTGCCGATAATACTCACAATGGAATCAAAGATAACATAATTAAGATTTAAGAAAGTATGTATACAAAACTTTTTATTTGTGGCCTTTGCCCGCGGCTCCGTCCGCTTGCGTGTCATACTCGCTGATAATGTAGCTTTCCATTGGTAAATAATAATAATAATAATAATCATTTATTTGCATGAATGAGTACAGGGTTGGACAATTCAATTAACAAAGGTTCATCATATCCTGCCGGGTAGGCGTGCAAAACTTTTCGTCAGAAACTTATACCTACAGAACATGCAATACATAAATTAATGACAATCAGTTTTATTGGTCAAATATCAGGCAATTACAATAACAATAATTAAGTGCTCAAATAAATGTGTTAAGTCAAATTATTGATAATATGGAAATGTCACCGTCAAAGCACACTAGTATCACGGTCATTTAAAAACTCATCAATCGTGTAAAAACATTTATTAATGAGAATTTTTTTAAAGTGAACTTTAAATAAATGTAGATGGAGTTCTCTTATGGCCCCAGAAAGAATTTCTAAAATCGGTTCAGTGGTTTAGGTGTTAAAGCGTAACAAATAAACTTTCGCATCTATACAAATAAATAAAATTGAAGTGTCTGTAATGTCAAAAATTATAGGTTTATTCATGCTCACACGGTTACTTGCACGATACCTATGCCTAGAAACCAACTTAAATATTTTTGTCTGTCTGTCTGTTTGTTCCAGGTAATCTTCAAAACGCCTGGACCGATTTTGATAATATTTTACTACCAGGTAGCTGTCTATATAAGGCTATTTATTTTCTCAGAAAAACCTGACAAAATTTTGCTCGGTCCGGGAATCGAACGCACTAAAGCAGCGATTTTGAAATTAGATAGTTTATAATATTAGTATGGATTATTATTTTTTCTACATCGTGATGTAATAAACCGTGTTCCCTCCTTCCTTAATTTTAAACTATGACATCTGTATAATGTACCTATCACAGCCGAAAATTGATCCAAGTAGCGTGCAAGGGGAGAGGCCTATGTCCAACAGTGGACTGCTATATGCTGATGATGATTACTGTTAAACCCTTAGCGGTAGTTATTTTTCTTCAAATATAAATGGAATAACGGGAATGAAACGATACCTGTGCCATCCTACACAAAAAGCAGTTCAGGAATGACGTTTTGCGTCATTTATGAACGTCATACGTCACGAACTGTTACGTCATTATCCAATTTTATATTGTACCTACTCGGAAATTGCGTACAAAGTGTGTGTTGTGGGTTCAAACCCCACATGGGACGACACTTTGTGTGATCCACAAATTGTTGTTCTAAGTCTGGGTGTTCTTTGTGTCCGTTTAATGTATGTTTGTAAAGTCCCCCGCGACACAGGAATGTATTCCTAATGCGGGCGTAGTCTTTTTTAATAAAAAAAAAAAAAAAAAAAAGTGCAAAATTCTTAAAAAAAACAGTTAAATAGAGTTGGTATAGGTATATTGGTGAGAAAAGGAGGAAGGGGGGGGGTGCACTCTACTTTTATCTCCTATATTATCGATACCATGACTACTACAAATTTACCTCAGCATGGCGCGCCGAGTTATGTCTGTCCAATTTCTCCTTAGAATTGAATCCTTCAAAGCACATTCTGCATCTGAACCTGCACGTTTTAAAATATTGACTACATTTATCTTTCTCCAACCATAATGGTACATCTGTAGGCTTGATTGAAAACTTCTTTCTCAATAAACTCTTTTTATAAACATTTGGACCATAGACTAATCTGTAATGTGACCTCTTTTGACTTTTTAATACTTTACTTTTAATGGCAGGTCTTCTTTCTTTTTTAATTTCGAATACATGATCACTTGTAGAGTCTATTTCATTATAATTAAAATTATCTTCTGAGTCATGTATTTCATGTTTTATTGAACATGTTTCTTTATCATTATGAGTTATAAATATTATATTATTTGTTGAAATGGGTGATAGTCTCGATAGACTTCTAATTGCTTTTTTCTGGAATAAAAAGAAAATAATCATAAAAAGCCTCTTGGTATAACTGTCAGTAATCCTAACTGCTGAGTCAGAGACACGACACTCAGCTAATGTCTCCCCAACACAAAGGGAGACCTAAGGAGATATAAAAATTTTTTCCTAATCAGTATGAATGTTTTTTTTACAATACTAGCTTTTGCCTGTGGTCTTAATATCGAGTTCAATTATCAAACATTTTTTTAATGGATAAAAAGATGCCTGTGTTTCCAACCATAATATATCAGTATGCCCAATTTCATACATATTTGTACAGTGGTTAAACATTAACATTCTGTAATAGTACTAAGATTAATGGGTACAGAGTCAATTGTTGGTTACTTCAATTTTTTTTATAGATTTTAGAAGAACCTTTTATGTATGAAAGTTGTTAGATGAGTCTGGGATGACCAAAGAAAAGAAAGTCCATCCAGGACTTTGTAAAAGAGCAGTGATATGGGAGAATGAAAGAAGAAAACCCAATATGCTGATCAAAAATCAATTAGGAAAATGGGCAATTAGATGATAATAAAGAAATTGGCGCTAAGTGCTTACCTGTTTGTGAATAAATTGGTGTGATATTGTTCTCTGTGCCTCTTCTACCCTGGACTTGAACAGTTTGATCTTCTTCAGCATCGCCATACATTCCCAGCACAGCTGGACATGTTGGGACACCTGGAAAAATATTTATTTGTCATAATGTATAGGTACTTAACATTACTGATAGCATATAATAACAAAAACTGCCACGTTGAATAACAAACAAATCACTAAAAGCTTGCAATCATACTAGTAAATCCAAATCAATATTGTTCTGTAAGTTACTTCCTTTTGGAAAACCTATATCCGTGTGGTGACGGATTAAGAATGCAGAGTGTCACCACCCCTATTCATCCAGTGGGTGTCGTAAGAGCCGACTAAGGGAAAAAACTACGCAGAACACCAGCACTGCAGAGAGAAGGAAAACTTGACACAAACCCTATACCAACCCGCCTGGCCAGCGTGATACTATATCACGCTGGCCAGACGGGCCAAAACCTCCTTTCTAAGGAGAGGCCTATGTCCAGCAGTAGACTACTAAAGGCTGTTGATGTGATGTGAGTGTACAACATGTATTTGTTTATTTGTTTATTGGTTTACCAGTAATTATTACACAAAAACATTCGTAAAATATAAAACATAGTATTAACCTTAATTGTCAAAAGTGCACAACTTATGTAGGTAAACACTACAGGCATATAATCTAATATATATTTGACTGGCCTGTTGGTCTAGTGGTTAGTGACCCTGACTGCTACGCCAGAGGTCGTGGGTTAGATTCCCAGCCAGGACAAATAATTGTGTGATAAGCACAGTCATTTGTTCTGTGTCTGGGTGTACTTTATAACATGTATTTATTTAGAAATATATAAGCACGTTTATCAGCAGTCTGGTTACCATAGTACAGGCTCTGCCTAGTTTGGGAACTTGGGCAATGAAAATGAAATATTTGAAGATGCACTTAAAAAGACCATCGTAAAACCTATGTTTAAGGCAGGAGATAGAATGGAGATGATAATTATACTTCCAATATTAACTAAAATATTTGAACGAGTTATTTATGAAAATATCTACTCTTATCTGGAAAAAGAAAATATTTTAGTACCAGAACAATATGGTTTTCGGAAAAATTAAAATATAAACAAGGCCATTTACAACTTTTTAAATAGTGTAATAGCAAGTATGGATAAGGGACAGCAGACGATTGCCTTGTTTATGGATATGTCAAAGGCATTTGATCACGTGAGACATGATATTCTATTGGACAAGTTTTACTATTATGGAATAAAAGGTATCATTCATGACCGTCTAAAACCACACTTGTCTAATAGACAGCAAGTCAAAAATCTGTTTCGAAAATCGATCTTAAAACAAAGTCTGAACGGGTATATAGTGCCGATTTAAGAATAATAAATTTGGAGTCCTACAGGGAAGTGTGCTGGGTCCTTTACTATTCATCATTTACATTAATAAATCTACCATTGACTGATGCATACAATATCACTCTATTCGCTGATTAAAGCACTATACTCTTTACAAATAAATCTTTATCATCTCTTGAAACCGACATTAACAAATCTATTGCATTCATTATACAATGGCTACAAATGAATAATTTAAAAATTAATTTAGGGAAAACCAACATATTAGATTTTAGACAAAGAACGAAAAAAACAAATTTTAAATAAGACATTAATTACAAGGGACATTTGAGAAAGCGAGTTAACTAAATTTCTAGGGTTAAAAATAGATAGATAATAAACTAAATTGGAAAGCACATATAGTGCATGTTTGTACCAAAGTGAGTCAGTACGCCTATGGATTGTATAACTTAAGAAATATCGCAAATACAACTACACTAATTGCAGCTTATCATGGTATCATCTCGTCAAATTTGTGGTATGGTGTAATATTCTGGGGCAACTCCACTGATTGCCATTTAGCATAGTAAAGTAAAATTAAAGTGCCTGAAAGTTGCAAACCCTACTTTATAGAAAATGATTTACTGACTTTGCCTTGCATTTACATTTACATGTTTGTAAGGCAAAATATAGAATTGATTCATCATCGAACAAGAGCTTGCCAGTATGACAAACTATGTGTAGTGCCAAGTAAAACAGTGCTGATGCACAAAACCTTTTTTTATACTGCACAACACATATATAATAAACTACCAAAACTTTTAAGAAATATTGAAAGTACTCAAAAAGGCATCTTCAAAAACTGCTTATAGTTAAATGTTATTACTCGCTTCGAGAGTTCTTAGAAGACACGGAGTTTTAATTTATATAGAAGACTGATAAATTTGTAATTTTTTTTTGATGTTGTGCTGGGACATCTTATCATTTTAATGTAATTGTATGACATTATATAATTTTATTTTATGACTGTATGACATTATGTTATTTAATTATTATTGCTTGACATTAATTGAATTCCAAACACTTATTTTGGCTATATGACATTGTGTATTGATTTATTGCTGTTTTAAAATATGTAGTATTCTCTCTTGCTTTTTTTTTGCATGCCTTATGGTTGAATATGGTGAAAGAACAATTATTGTAAATAGCTTATAAGATCTGCAAATGTATACCCATATTCGCAAATGAATAAATGAATTATGAATTAACTTTGTGGTGGTGGTAACTCCGTGTGGTGATCGATAAGGAATGTCACCAGCTCTATTCATCCCGTGGGTGTCTTACAGGCGACTAAGGGAACAAACTGCACAGGACAATGGCACTGCAAAAAGAAGGAAAACTTGAAACTAACTTCATACCAACCCATCTGGCCAGCGTGGTATAGTAGGCCAAAACCTCCTTTCTAAGGAGATGTCTATGTCCAGCAGTGGACTATTATAGGCTGTTGATGTGATGTGATGATGAATTAACTTGACACATCTGTACGGCATCATGGCAGTCTGATCCCAAACTAGGCAGCGCCTGTACAGTGGTACACTGCTGATAAACATACTTATATATATCTTTCTTAATATATTATAGGTAAATTACATAGAGACGGAGAACCAATAATTATATTCATCACACAATTATTAGTCCTGGGTGGGAATGGAACAAACTATGACTTAGCAGTGAGGGTCACTTACCATCTACTGGTTGGCCAATCAACAGTAACTATCATGCAAAACTACTTTACGAAAAGCGAATATGAGCATTAAATAAAATAAAGAGATCCTTAACACATAAGACTGATATTCCATGCAGTTTCAGCTACGATCTTGGTCACTGCTGTGCACCTAAGGGTCATAACGTGATGTTAAGGAGCCTGTGTCCTTCCTCAATTAATACTTTATCTAATTATAAAAAGCATTATTCTAACTAATGGTGTCAGAGATTTAAACAGTTTAAACAAACAACCAATCAAAGAAAAATTGTTCAGTCTTATTGTATTAGCTATAAATAACCTAAATTATGATGCAATTAATTTACTACACTATATAAAAAAGCCTCTGAATTTAATATCTTACTTTTATTGATTTGTTTAGAATGTTAGATAAAATATCAACATATTCTCCAATGCTTATAAGATTCCTGTTAGAACTTAGGCACGCGAAGCAAAACGAAATATCATTTTTAATAGAATTATAATTCCCTTGCTCAGTTTCATACATATTTTCATAGTTATTGATAAAATACTAGAACAAAATTTTCTTTGTTTATATTTTCTGAACCCGCATGGCAGTGGTGACAGATATAACAAACAGACATAAATAAAAAAGTTCTTCGTAAGATCATAGATACTTTATTTTGTTTTTCTCAATGCATGAAATGATTTTGATAGGTATACTTTAAATATAGATTTTTTTACTACCTACTAAAGTTTAACACGATAAATACTCAAAAAAATTAAAATGTCCATGGTCAAGATAATGACTTTAGGTATTTGAACACTTCCTGCGTATTGAACAAAACGCAATTAGATCAGAAAACGGCTTTGGGTGAAAAAAGTTATGTTTTCATAATCTTTCCAATTCCTGGGAAATACCACCTGTTTCAGAGATGGAAAATTGTTGGCAACAATTATATGATGTTTATAAATTACTAAAATTGTCAACGCAATTATTCTATTATCTAAACTACTGAACCATTCATTTATTTGGAATGCGCATCTTAGTCTGTTGTGATACACAAAGTAGAGTAAACATACATTGTTTTTGGCTTTTATAATTAAATTGAACTGAACTAAACAAGTAAGAACCCCGGAAAACAGCTATAAATATCTAAAAAAATTAACGAAGGTATTAAGTCTAGGTACGTGTTTAACAAAGTGAAATAATCTACTCATAAATGGTATGATAATAGACTATATAATTATGGGACTAACCTTTCACACGCCTACTAGTGTGACACCAATGTCCAGAGCATGATTTAATTGGCCTGAGGATGTGCCTGACACCTCCAACTGAGTCCTTGTCTCGACTCAATGCAGTCTCTTTCCTGTTACTTACACGAAACCTGTTGTCTCTGTAACCTGAAATCCCTCGTGTTGCCTATTCTCTTGCGCAAATTGATCTTTTAACTTCATCTGTAAATGATTACTTTCCCAAGAATGATTGGTGTCAGGCGCGAGCCCGGCAATAATAGAAATCAGTCAAGTCTCTTTGGAATATTACACATTTTGACCAATCCCAAATAGAATTTGGAACATGTTAGACAAATCCGGCAAAGTGCAAGTCGGACTTGCCCACTGAGGGTTCCGTACAAATTTTTAGGGAAATATTATAAATAGTTCAGGCATCGATTTTAGCAGTTTTTTCCGAAATTCAGTTTAAAAAACCGATAATAAAATATATTCTTGAGCTTTATAAGATAAACTAGCTGACCCGCGCAACTTCGTCTGCGTCTCTCAATAGTAATAAATTTTCTCCGTTTTTGAAACATTCCTCATTGGTGCTCCGCTCCTATTGGTCTTAGCGTGATGATATATAGCCTATAGCCTTCCTCGATAAATGGGCTATCTAACACTGAAAGAATTTTTCAAATCGGACCAGTAGTTCCTGAGATTAGCGAGTTCAAACAAACAAACAAACAAACAAACAAACTCTTCAGCTTTATAATATTAGTATAGATTGTACGATGGTTAATCAATCATATACTTTAAATAAAGGCTATAATGTATAGTTTTCAAACTTACCCCTGCACTTGTGGTATAAGACGACGTTACTTGCCAAATTGCCGAGTCGGTCAGAGGTCAACGAGAAGTATCCCATGAATTTTGGTTCCCTTGAAAGTGTCGAAATATGAGTTTTTTGCGGCATCAACGGCCGTATTTTATTTTTACGTTAACTTAGGAGTTTCATTATTTTACAGCTTCTAGGAACCGTAGACCTGAGCTATATGGTTTTAATTTCAGCACAATACTTTCACGCGTTCCCGAGATAAAGGCTCTTGAAGTGATCCTATAAGGGTTCAGTTTTTTCCTTTTGAGGTACGAAACCCTAAAATGACGATGATTTCTACCAAGTTAGGGTGAAATTTTATCTATACCTATTGCGGGAGTTAGCGTAAAAAAAATTAACAAAAAACAAAACTCAATTAAAAGCAAAGAAATAATGCTTAACAATAGGTTTCTGTGAGGCCGTGGTATCACACTGGTGAGTCCACCCATAGGAGCAGAAGCCGATCTCATGATATCCCACGATGCTTAAGGTAAAATATAAAACACCAATATACTATATAGTTTTTATTATGTACACAAGGTATGGCAACCCTCCCCCGGCTCAGTGCGTGTGTCCGTGTGCGTGCGCGGCGCGCGCATGCGCCGTGAGCGCGGCGCTCTGTGCGAAGCGCGCGCCGCACGTGTCGCACGCGTGCGGCCGCTCGCCCGTGTGCGTGCGCACGTGGTTCGACAGTATCTTGTTCGTCTGCCAAACAAAACAAACAATTAGACCCGAAAATTGTTTCAGCAATGGAAAGCTAAATTATCAGCGAGTAACATAGGCTACTTTTCACTGCGATAACCGTCATGCACGCGAGCGGAGACGCGTGCATTAGCTAGTTTAAAATAATACGCAGTAAAAGTTGAAACATGTTCTTAGTTCTCAACGTAAAGCGACTCCAAGGGCCGCAACGCACTTGGGATTTTTGAGTTGCAGGTGTCTATGGGCGGCGGTACTTGCTTACCATCAGATGACCCGTCTGCTCATTTGCCCCCTTATACAATAAAAAAACGTCAACTTTCGTCTCCGAGTCACGTACATATATCAGCAAAAATTGCCAAATATATTTGTAGGTCATATTCTCGCGCTTCTAGACACTATAATCCTTATCAATCGATTTAAATTTTTACGAATAAAGCTTTTAACTTAAGGAGAAAGGTCATTTTGTGACAGAAAAGCGGTTACTGTGAGATCTCACTCTTTCAGTAACCGCCCCCCCTCTAATTTTGGGGAGTGTCACTCAAAGGGCGGTATCGCATTTGTTGTCTTAAGTTGCAGGTATCCATGGTCGGCGGTAGTCACTTACCATCAGGTGACGTCTCCTCGTTTGCCATTACACCATAAAAAGTCGGACTCACAACTAGCTAATGTGAAAACTACTGGACCCCCCCCCCCATCTACCTCTTTATTGTTATTTATTTACGGGATTTTTTCTATGAAGAATATATCACCCCGATGATTGTATACAATTAAATTACACATACAATGAAACAATAATAAATTAATTATACTAGACTAGCCAAGACTAGGCTAGGCTTTGCTCAGGAGGAAATTGGATTTACTGTATTTCCAAGTCCTCCAATTTTCTTCTGATTAATTTCGTTGCGGGTTCCAAGACAGTTTAATTTCTTCCTGGGACTTCCCGAGTGTCATAACTCGGTGTGTTCGTGGGTCACTGCTGTGGATCCTGGTGTACAGGAGTCACAGTGGTGAGCGTATGGGTGGGATTAGTCCCTAGACTAGCCTACCTATAACCTTATACTCATAATAACAGTATATTAAAGCCAGAACGCTATTACAGAAGCCCACATTAAACCTATTAACGAAAGATTGACGCATTGACGACTCCCACACGAACACACGCCGGCAAGATATGATACACATTCTCAATGACTCCACAGGCAGCACAATTTGGTGACTCGACTTTGAGCATATCCGAAGCTGTTGAGCGGCACGTGACCGGATCGGAGCCTTAAAGCCGTCACAACTTCTCCACTTTCTGCCCTTGTTAGGTGAACTTACAGAGAACCCTCGTCCACACATGTAGCATATCTTGTTCTTGGGCGGCAGGATGCCCTCGTGGACTCGACGTGTGTGCTTCACCAGGTCCGCGTTGCGAATAAAATTCTGTAACAGAAACTCATTCAGTCAGACGAGACCATAAATTAATACTCTTTTCCTCCGAGCTTTTAACCCAAACTAGGTTGGGGTCGGTTTTAAATCTACTACGATACGGTTGAACTTCGATTTTTTAGTGGAACGACAGCCTTCAGACCTCCACAACCCAAATACTAGGCGATATCGAAGTTCTGTAGAAAAACTGTTGTCGGATTTATAATTCGTATGGGATCCGGGACGACGGCTTAACGTGCTCTCCGAGGCACGGAGGGGTCTCAATGTGTTAAGAATGGTCACCCATCCACAGACTGACCTGGCTAGGATTCCTTAACTTTGCAATCCTTATAAAGACCTAAACGAATCGTACCCGTACTTAAAGGGTTCTGAGCCATATTACAAGATTTATTAACAGTCATGTGCTACGGTTTATGAGATACAGATCGCTCACAGACAGAAGGACTACGGAGATAGCGTTAATTGACAAGAACGGCACCCAATATCATCAGTGAGTGGTACTCACCTTGTTGCACCTTTCGCACCGGTACTTGAAATACTTGAGGTGGACCAGGTTATAGTGGTCCTTCATGTAGATGTTCTTAGAGAACACCTTATCACAACCAGGACACGGGACCCTGAAATACAACTATATATAAATTTCAAACAGACAGTTCTATCCCCGAACCACATTTCATCCAGATAATTTCAGCCATTGTAGGCCGGGACAGTTCGAGCCCTTCGTTCAGCAGCCGAGCTGTATATTTGAGGGTAGTAGGTACCTGGTCTTGGCCCTGCGGTTGTGCCTGGCGCTGTTGGCGAGGTGCCACCGGTAGCGGTACTGGTCGGGGTAGCGGCGGTCGCACTCCACGCAGTAGGCGGGCGCGGCGCCACGCGCATGCGCCGTCTTGTTGTGGAGCCACAGCCCGCTGTAGCGCGCGAACCGCTTGTTGCACGACACGCACCACAGTCCCGAGTGTTGCTTCCTTTGATCATCTTATCGTTTAGCTATATACACATTACTTCCACAGCTTTTTTTTTTTCATTAAAGGAGATTTTTTTTATATTATGGGGGGTCTTTAGTGAAATAAAATAACGCGTGCTTCCTGAGCCGTTACACACTTCCGTCCCTTTTCCCGCTCGCTTCCACAAATTACAGTAATGCGAGAGGCACGATGTTATACACCCGAAAAATATTAACCCAAATTTATTGATACATTTATTTTATAAGTTTATGTACAAATATATACATCGGGTGTCGGTGTCGTAAACGCCGACTAAGGGAGCGAAACTACGCAGGACAACAGCGTTGCAAAGAGAAGGAAATCTTGAAACAAACAATACACCAACCCGTCTGACCAGCGTGGTATAGTAGGTCAAAACCTCCTTTCTAAGGAGAGGCCTATGTCATTCCGCGGCTTGGCATGTCATTTCAAGCGGCATTCCAATAGGGCCTGCCAAAAGTTAATTAACGTAAATTACTAGTGGTTAGACGCCAGTTTATCTATCTCGCCCCAGTATTTTATAACAGAGTAAATAAAATATTAAAAATCTATTCTCACCCATCCAGAGAGTTTAGATTGCTTACGACACAACGGCTAACTTCACTCTCATACGCAGAGTTGGAGAATGTAACTAAATGGTGAGGAAGTTCTGCTCGTAACACGTACAGTTGCGATACTCACACACACACACACACACTCTCTCTCTCTCTCTCTCTCTCACACACGCATACACACACGTGAAGCAGTGGACTATTACAGGCTGTTGATGATGATGATGTTGAAATAAATAAGTGCGTGAGTCAGACTTGCACTTGTCCAGTTTTTACACGACCGACAATTTCGAATTTGCTATTAATCTAACAGTGGAGATCATACCTGATGTGGTTCTTGATGCAGTATCTCATTTTGAAGCTGACGCCGCAGTAGTCACAAATGAACTTCTCATGCCATTCTTTGTAATGCTTGAAGAACTCTTTCCGACTCCTGCAATTACAGGAAGACTATATTGTTATACTTACATCAAGTTGAGACATGTGGAAGTAATCTTCTACGAAAAGTTTAATTGTTCCAGAATATTCTACTAAGTTCTAGAAGTTTCAGACAACGAATCTCCTCAAAAATGACAGCATATCTACTAATCTTGATAGAATTATTTCGAAGTCGGAAGAAGTCGCTTTATTTATTTTTTAAGGGATTTTCTTGTTGCTGGACACTTTCGGTTTCTCAAACAAGATGATGCTTCTTACCTCAACCGTAGCTGAGATTCATTAGTCTAGGGGATTATTTTATTATTATTAGCTTTATTTAATCCCTTACATGTATGTATTTCTTATCTACTATTATGTATGCTTATTTATTTATTTGTTAGTAATGTTAGTTTTGTTTTTAAATAAGGTTAGTATTGTTAGGTGTAATCGCCGCCTTTTGCGGTGAAAGCCTCCTCCAATCTAGGGGATAGGACGTTATTAATGGGCTGACTAGCGGAGGGAAGCTCGCGGCTCTCTAAAGCACAGGGCCTTGTTAGGCGGGGATCAATTCGGGGAGGGGACCTGAATCATATGGTTCAGGTCATCCCCAGAGTAGTGCGCCCAAGGCTGGCAGTCGGGGTTGTTTTTTAGTCGAAACACAACATAATCTTGCCTCTGGGCGTCCCCAAGGGGCCAGAGATTTGAAGCGATTTCCCACCCATCCCGAAAAACAATATTCATTACTGTTAAATGAAAGATCTCACCCAAAATTCAGTTCGCACTTGACGCACTGGAAAATTCTTGTATGTTTCTTCTGACGATGCGATTGTATTTGCGATTTGTCGCAACACGTAAAGTCACACAGTCTGCACGCGTACCTATTGTAATGTTCGCCAATGTGCTTTATAAGACGACGCTTACTCGATATCCTTGAGTCGCATATATCGCATGTGTAGGGCGCTACCTGGGATATGTATACTTATATCAATGATTAGAAATTAAGAACAAACCTGACGTAAAATCAAATAAAAACCACCTATGAAGCGTTTTTATATCGTGTCAAAATTTGAGCTCAAAGGTTGCAGAAATCTTTGAGTTTTTAAAGCGCACACAAACCAAATTAACCTTTTATATAATAATATATATTTATAAAGACTAGCTGTCGACGTTGTTCTGTACACACGCCTTAAATCCGTTTGCTTTTAAATCTAATCCATTCTTGAATCCACTTGAACACAGAAAAAATCATCAAAATCGGTCCAGCCGCTTAGGTCCCCTCCCCACACACCGTATTTGAGGGCAGGGGGGGAGGCGACGGACTTGCGATTCTCAACTTGTCCATGGGCGGCGGTGGTCACTTACCATTAAGTACCCCTTGTGCTCGCTTGCCCCCCTAGGTCATAAACAACCACTAGCCCAAAAGCACAACAGGCGAGTTTAAAATAACTAACCTTAAAATGATGGTTTTCGTTATGTCTTGCCAATGCCTTGTCATCGTCAAAAGTCAAAACACATTTCGTACATTTGTGTCTTCTAGACTTAAAATATTCACTTTCTCTCTGCTTCTCTAAATACAGCGAGAGATCTTTACTTTTTACGTCAATTTTATAAAAACCGGTCTTTTTACAATCAGTCACGATTTTGAATTTCGGTTTTTTGTTCAGCAACGCACGTTTTGTGGCCCAGCGGTTCTTCTTAGGGGTTTTAGGTTCTGAAAATAAGAATTAAACACTAATTTATTAAGGAATTGACTTTTATCTGCAAGAAATTACTAGGTAGGCCAAAACCTTCTTTCTAAGGAGAGGCCTATGTCCAGCAGTGGACTATTAAAGGCTGTTGATGTGAAGTTACTAATCGACGTATTAATATATAAAGATTTTTTTTTAGTACAGAGTAGCATAACATATCTTATACACTTAATGATCATTTGCAGAAATACATAAAGCTAACATTTATAAACATTCTTTACTAAAAAATAAAATTATATAAAAACGGATTTTGGTTTCTTTGTTTTATTCTCAAAATCAGTTAAGACCACGAGCCACAAAAAAGAAAATCCTATATTTATGTCCTAGGTCCCGAGGCAGAACAGGGCCGCAAGTATAGTTAATTACCTAATTGTGAGGTGCTAGAGAGAACAAGAGCCCCAATCTTGCAATATAGGCAACGAGAGAGATGGATAATAGATAGTCCCCTCTATCTCATTCTAGCCGAGCTCTGTTGTTGGCTGCGGAATATGAGGGGTTGATAAGTAGCCAATCGCAGGTTAGCTAAACAGAGACGGAGGGAAATATAGGGTGTCCATCTCTCTCATTGCCTGTATGGCTTCCACTTACAGGCAGCTGTACCCCGTGTTCTCTCTAAGCTTATATCGCTGCACCCCAAGAGAACAAATAGTATGTACACCTACCTACTTTCGGTATCAACTGCCTATCGCTTTTAAGAGTTTCCTTCTTGAAGTCATAATCAGCAAGAGGGAGATCATCACCATCATTGTGGTCGCTCACTTCATCATAATGAGTTTCTTTTCGATCTGCTTGTAAATTAGTTTCATGCATATACAATATTTGTGAATGAGCATCGTTTAAAATTATTGTGATCAGGCTTGATAAAGGGCCATAGACAATCTGGAATAAAGTAAAAGGCTATTTAAATATTAAACAGAACTCAACAAGAACATAGTTTCACTTTTTAATTTTTAACCAACTTCAAAAAGGAGGTTATCAATTCAGATGCTTATATTTTTTTTATATATGTCATCGTATAGGCACAACTCCGTCATATTTAGACGGATTTTCAAAATTATTTTTTTTGTTCGAAAGGAGATTATTCCGAAATGGACCCATTTAAATTTCATACAGATCTGATTGTGTGTTTCGGAGAAAGACAACGGAACTCTTCAAAAAATGACAGCAAATCTACCGCGATTGCTGCTAGGTTTTTAGTGGTCTTTGTTATACTTATGTATTGTTTGAAGGGTATTTCTTGTACATTTATTTAATTATTCTTAGAGAGACTAACAGACATATAACAATTTTGTATTATTACAATTAATTTCTGGCTGGTAAAGGTTACTTGAAAACATTTAGATACGTTTAGCTGGTTTTTTTTTTATATCGTTCAGACACTTGATCCATATCTTAAGTATAATATACATACAATATTAAGAATTTAATTATTGAGTAAATATATAAATAGGTAAAAAATACAATTATCTTATTGATTACAGTATTATCAGGTCAGATTACAGTTTCTACCCAAGCATCGTCTGAATGTTGAGTTATGTATAAGTCTCTCTGCCATACCTCTGATAGATGATCAGATTATCGCATGCACCGACTCTGGACATGAAAGAAGCAATCCTCTGCCGTTGAATGGCGTTAAGTGTCAACGCTGGCCTCCGTTAGCATTTCAGAAGCGCTACAGAAGCGCTTCAAGCCTTCAACTTACCTGAAGATGTTATTGTAAGCCACACGTATTCTAGCATGCGTCTTTTTAGTAAAATCAGTCCAGAGCTGGCACAAATACAATTATCTTACCTTGTAGAAGGTTTGACAGAAAGACAAGAAGAAGAAGGTTAAACAGAGAAGCTGTTACATCTGTCGAGCACCTGTAAAATTTAAGAGCCATCATATTCCCTACGCAACAGAGAGACCTTTGTTGCCGTTCTACATCAGCATCATCCTTAAGGCTGTATGTAACGATATGGCCAAGGTACTTGAATGCTGCCTTAACCGGTTGCTGATTAAAAAATACTGTAGGCACGTTTTCCGAACCCCTTCCGGACCTGAATATCACCATTTCTGTTTTCTTTACATTATAAAGCAAATCATACTCAGCTGCGTATCTCTCACATATGCTAATTAACTTTTAATGACTACAATATGTTTCAAATCTCTCCGTATCATCTTGCCGTTAATAGTATCATCATCAGTAGTATCATGTTCATCTCCGTATCATCGTGTCAGTTACACTTTGCACAACTTTATGAACCTTCATATCATCAGCGTATAAAAGAGAAAATAAACAAAAGAGGTCCCAAAATTGACCCGTGAGGAACTCCGGAAGGTATGTAACTAAAAGTAGAAGTATATCCCTGCAGCACAACAGCTTGCGATCTATTTTCTATATAAGATGAGAACCACCTATACAGATCCCCATGAATGCCTGCCTTGTCTAACTTTTTTAAGAGTACTTGGTGGTCTACACGGTCAAAACATTTACTATAATCTATACTAATATTATAAAGCTGAAGAGTTTGTTTGTTTGTTTGTTTGAACGCGCTAATCTCAGGAACTACTGGTCCGATTTGAAAAATTCTTTCAGTGTTAGATAGCCCATTTATCGAGGAAGGCTATAGGCTATATATCATCACGCTAAGACCAATAGGAGCGGAGCACCAATGAAGAATGTTTCAAAAACGGAGAAAATTTATTACTATTGAGAGACTAGTCTAGTCAGTATATATGACTTTTACTTGTCCTTCCTGTTCCGTTCCTTGGAAAATAAATTCGTGTGACAAAATTAAATTTGATGTAGTAGAACGATTCTTTGCCAAAACTACCCTGTAATGCTTCATATACGTCAGTGTAGAGACAAACCGTCCTACAAGTTTTTGAAACACGACATATCTTAGATACGGGGCTGGTAGTTTTCAATATCGGCTTTCTTTCTTTTTGATGATTGGCGTAACAAAGGCTGATTTCCATATTTTTGGAACACTCCCTTTTGACAGAGAGCGCTTAAAAATAATGCATAAATGTAAAGTTAAACTATCAGAACAACTGACTATAAAAATCGGAGGTGTAAAGACAGGTCTAGGTTTTTCATTAGTGTCAACAGCCGAGACTCACATATTTGAATCATGCTAATTCCCGTTAGACTATCACTGATGCAATGTTCGCTGCTCATTCTATGTGTATGAGAGTCAATAAGCGTATAATCTGGTTGTTGAAAAGTCGAATAAAAATATTTGGCGAATAAATTACTGATATCTTCACTTGTGATAGCTGTAATGTCCTTAAAATGCATTATTTTAGGGTATGTATTACTTATAGTTAAACCGCCGTAAGCTTGGCCCTCCTGATGGTTTGGGGGACGCGGGGCGATGATGATGATGGTGATGCGCTCGGCTATACATAATCTACACACGATGTAATAAAAATCGAATTTATTTCTATGTATTATAATGACAGTGTATTGTAAGTTTTTAGAATTAATTTTAATAAAATCACCTTATCTTCATCATGTAAATTATATTCAGATACAATTTAAAAATTAAGTAAAATAATAAATATTCTTTATTAGAACTTTAACAGTAGAACCTCTGTAAGCCGAACTTCAAGTTTTTAAATCTTTTTTTGAGGCAGAGTCGGCAGATTATCCATGTTGCAAAATAATACCGTGTGTAGCACCCCCCAACCCTCCCCCCCCTGCCCCATCAGGAGGTTTAACTATAGTTGCCTACTCTTAATATACGACTTAGGATTTTTAATAACAGAACATTAAATTTTATCCACATAAGTGTCAAGACAAGATTTCTCCAATTCAATTACTCGGCTACGAAGTAATGTAAAAGTCTGCTAAATTCACATATTTTTTACATTTTTGATTATATTTCTATTTTTCTTTTAACATTTTAAGTTGAGCCAAATTCTACCATTTGGGATGAGATGATCGTTTCAAAGTTTTTAGATTTAGTTCAGAATTGATAAGTTCATAGTTTCCTCTTGAAAAAAGATACTGATATGTTAATTTTTCACTTAGTTTATGAAGTTCTAAGAAGTAAGTTCTGGATAAGCAAAGGTGGTGGTGCACATCCACAGGTATAGATAAAGGATTGTTGTTTTTCCGTTATGTTATGTTATGTATTCCATTGTACTGAGATAGATTCAAAGTCTGAACGTTGTCAAAAATTTCTACTATTTGTTAACATGTAATATGTTTTGGGATTGATTTAACACTGAAATTATTTAATTGAGTGTAATATGAGTTCCCTAAGTTTTGTTTGCAGACTAACTAACTAACCTAACTTTACCACGATCAAAACACTGTTATACTATAAATAGCGAAGTATGGATGTGAATGTGTGTTTCTCTCTTTCATCAGTACTACCGATCATCACAAAATTGTAGGTACATAAATATAGTTAGAGGTATATAAAAGGGGCATAGAACACCTTTCTTAGGTAAAATAGTTCTGCTTAGCTCTGACACTTGATTGATATAACCTAAATTAAGGCGAATAAAGCTGCAGTCAAATGCAGATACTAAATAAACTAACCTGCCCCGATTGTAGTGTTTCATAAGCTTTACAAAATTGTTTCTTGAATAAGCACACTTTCCTCAGGACTGCAACACATTCCCAGCAGAGTAGTAAACTGTCTGGTAACACAGACTGTAAGATTAAAACCTTTTTAGTTTTGCTAAGTTTATATTTTTGGCTTATTCACTATCATGCCACGCCATGCAGAGACTGCTATCTATTAGTTCACTTATTCTTTACTGTACCCAATAAATGACATGGATTTAAAAAAAACAAAAAACAATTGTGGACAAAGAAGTGCTTTATCCAAATCTAAGTGATCTGCCAACAAACTGTAAGGATGAATAGAAGAGAGCAGAGAGTTGACATTTTAACCACAAAAAAAAAACATTAAAAATAAAAAGAATCATTAAAATTCATTAATTATTTTTTGTAGTGATAATTAGTACCCAGGTACTTCTTAACTTTTTTTTAATGACAAGGTTAAATTTAAAAAATAAGTATGGTTGTGAGATAGAACCTACCTGGTAATCACAATCGAACATAATAATTTTAAACATCTCTAAATATTCTCCTAGAGGAAAAAGTTTTCGTCCAACACTCAGGCACACACGACATTGTTTGTCAGAAATAGGAAATTCGTATTTCACTTCAGTTTCATTCATTATTTGTAAAACTTTACTTAAACTTTGAATATATTTTATGTATTATCTTGTGAAGATTTTACAACCAATTTCAACAGCCTTTTACCGACTGTTTTAATTCTTAGAAGAGTTCAGATCAGATATGTTCTCTAATTAAATTACATAGTAAACAATATTTTGTAGGTTTATAAATAAAATGTTAGCTACAATTATTTAATATTTGAGTAAAAATTTACATATCTAAGCGTTCTGTCTGTCATTTTATCTGTTTCCTTATTCGTTTCTGTTGTTGACTGTTGTCAAACCTGTCAAACTGCTATTCAAATTAGACACGGGTAGTGATGTGCCGAGTAGCTGTTTTGGTGGATCGAATCGACTCGAGTCGGTTTATACGGTGTTCGAATCATGACTCGATTCCGCGATTCGAGCCCAGTACTCGAGTTCTATGTTTGGTATTCGAATGTTAACTCTAGTCCAGGACTCGAGTTTAAGACTCGAGTCCAAAACTCTAGTCTGGAAATTCGATCTAGAACTTGAGTCTAGAAATTCGGGTCCAGAACTGGAATCCGTTAGTGATTTTAAAACAGAAATGAATAATCGAAAAGGATTAAACTTCAAACAGTATGTAGGTTCTGTATAATGACACAACGATAAATTAATCTTTTTTTTTTAATTAAAATATTTTTAAACATTACAAAAAACTTAGAACATATCAAGAAGACCTAGAAATAAGATCAAGCTCTATTTGTTTCAATAAACAACAAAAATAAATCTTTTAAAAAACTATTTGAAAACTTCAGTTATTTGTTCTATTAGTTTTTTACAAACTTAGCAAGTCATTTTACTTATTAAACAGATATTATTATAGTATATTATATTATAGTATATTAGAATATTTAGTATGTAGTATATAAATATACTACATACTAAATATTCTATTCTATAGTACAATCATCACATCTAAACGAATCAAATAAGGTTAAATAAAGTTATTAAATCGCAACTTGGACACTTAAATTTTGGCGTTCCAAAGCTGTCTAATCTATTTTGTTCTGACTGAAAACTACTAATATCTACCTTTAATAGGAAATGTTTTTTTTTTAATATTTATTAACTAGGTACTATTTTTCTGTACCTTTAGGTATAAGGTCTCACTTTTAATTTTATTTGAGTCAAATAATCGAATCAAAAGTCAAATAAAATTAAAAGTGAGACTCACTTTTGAAATACAAGACGTCTCGTGACGTCTCAGACACAAGATATATTATTGGGAGCCTATTGAGACAGCTTTAAAGATGCCCAGTCTAATTAACTCTTGATACCTCGATAGAGTATGGTGTGCATTGAAATCAAACCAGCATTTTAATACTACAAAAAAGTAGGTACTCAAACTGAATAGCTCAGAATATAACATTATACCTAAAGGTACAGAAAAATAGTACCTAGTTAATATATAAAAAAAAAACATTTCCTATTAAAGGTAGATATTAGTAGTTTTCAGTCAAAACAAAATAGATAAGAACATAAAAGTTATTTGAAAAAAACTGTTCAAAAAGAGTATTTGGTCAACCTTCTTGGATTCTAGTCTATTACGACGTTGGTTTGCATAAGAGTCCAGCCTTAGAGAAAACTCGTTCCGAAGGCACAGAAGTGGCTGGAATGCATAAATACTTTAAAGCTATTTTATATAGACCGTTGTTGGTGACTTTGCGAAGTTCCCAAAATGTAAGTGGATTGGCTTTTCTATCCAAATACGGTAGCTTTACATACTGTTTCACCTTGATAATTGCTGATGTTGATGGGTTTTCCATGCTAGAAAATTCCAATACCCTTTTATCTAGATGCTCCCATAAATTCTCGCCAGTCACTCCAGAAGTTATCTGCTGAGAATCTGAAGATGAAGTTGAAGGTGTTTCGAGAGGTGAAGTAGGCTGTGGAGATCTATTTGGGACCTGGAATTGAGCTTGAGATTCCAATGTTACTAACATCATCAATTCGTCAACAACAAATTTTTGAGCATTATCTGCATTTCGCTCGATCCCAAAACCAGCTTTCTTAAATCTTGGATCTATGAAAGTTGCTTTAGCAGCAGTTTTGTTAATTTCATGACTGCCAAATCTTCTATCGAACACGTCCAATAATTTTGTGTTTAACCTGCTAACGACTTCAGATTTAGGACCACAATTTCTTAGCACCACTTGTAAGCCGCGCGCAAGATGTATGATGCAGGATAATGTTGGATATTGCTCGCCAGATATAATACTCGTCATTTGTTCCACAGGTTTCAAAATGCAAAGGCACTCGTGCACCTCTATCCATTCTTCAGCATTAAGAATATCTGGACAGCCAGGTAATAAAGTGATTGTAGCAGAAAGAGGTATCTTGACCTTGTCGAGACGTTCGAGCATATAATAAACCGAATTCCATCTAGTCTGGACATCTTGTTTTAGTGTTAAGGGTTCTAGCTGCATTTGTTCTTGAACCTGTTTTAATTTATATGCAGCATTATTGCTTCTTCTGAAATAGGCTACTATTACTCGACACTTTTCAACCAATCTAATTAATACTTCATTTTCCTTAATAGTATATTGAACAACTAAGTTCAAAGTATGAGCTGCACAACTGAGGTGACGTTTATACAGAAAATCAATAACAGCTTTTTTTATATTAGCAGCGTTGTCAGTTGTAACGCAAATGATTTTGTCCAAAATATTCCATTCAGTTTCTAATATGTCTCTCATTTCGTGAGCTAAATTTTCTGACGTATGGGCATCTTTAACTTCTCTGGTGGATAATGTCAAAGATTTAAATTTGTCTTTATTAATAAAGTGTATTGTCAGGGTCATATAACTTCTGCTACTATCGGATGTCCACAAATCTGTTGTCAAAGCAATATAATCTGTTGCTTTAAGCATCTCTTGCGTAGCCTTTTTTGCCATAGAATATTGCTCCGGAATCAATTTTTCCGAAAGAATCTTCCGCGAAGGTAGCTCGTAATTAGGGTTAAGGGCAAGAGTATAATCTTGAAAACCTTTATTTTCAACGACTTGAAGCGGTTGAAAATCAATGCACACCATTCTGATTAACGCTTTATCCACATTTTTAGAATTCATCTTTATAACTTGCTTAGACGGAAAGGTCATTTGAAGTGTCCGTTTTCGGGGTGGTTGAGTTTCGCCGTCTGTGATTGGCTGTGAAATGAATGACATTTCATTAATTTGAATTTCGCGCATCGAAGTGACATGTGAACTATGAGTCAATGGCAGATGACGCTTACATTATTTTGTGCATTTTATTGTTATAAAAACTTGTAGAGAGATAAACCGAAGGATACGATTGAGGAAGCGATATTAGTGAACTTTAAATGTCGTTTCTTTGTATTTTCAGAGAAACAATTTATGGTTTATTTTGAAGATCCTATATAATATACCTTTAATTACTAGATTTACTGTTAAATAGGCGAAATAGATAGATAGACTAATAAGTAAGCGAATGATAAATCAACGGTCTTTCACAGTTCACTGTGACTTTTATCCTAAAGGAATCAACAAGCTGCCATTAAAATGGCAAAATTGTATTGATAATTTGGGCCAGTACTTTGATTAGCTAAAATGAAAAAAATCCAGCAAAGTGCGAGTCGGACTTGCACACCGAGGGTTCCGTATAGATTAGCAGTAGCTCTGGAATCTCGCAATTTTTTGCCGAGCTTTGACTGAAATTCACTTCCGAAAATCTATAATTACTAATATTCTTGAGTTTTAGAAGAGAAATTGTATCTCGGTGATTGATTACATACTTTAAGACTATGTATAGTTTTCAGATTTTCCCCCTTTTTTTTCCGTGCGGAAATCCCCTCGGATACCACCTGTCGGTGGCATGTCGGACTCGCACCGACTAAAACCGCACGCCGTCTCGGGTACTAATAGCCGGGGAACCAGGTATACCCTAGAAAGGAAGTCCCTTCAGATTTTCCCCTGTAATTGTAGTATAAGACGATGTTACTTGCCAAATTTCAGAGTTATATAGATGAGGTTTTTAGTGCTCTTTGTTAGAATTGTTAGAAGTAGGTCCAAATTTAAAAAAAGAGGATTCATTCTTGTACAAGCAATAGTTGTATTAGAATAATAATTAATATTTAGAGCAACAATATTTTATCGTACGTCGTCACATCTGTAATTAATTTATTATTATAGATATCAAAAAAATTTAGAGCTGTGTAATTGAAATTTTATATGTTTAATATGTCCAGTATTGACATTATATCCCCAGTATTTTGTTTACTTGGTACCTATCATTAAAACCCAAGTTATGAGGGTTCAAAAAGAAGACGAATCACTTCAAGAAAAGGTAGGTAATGTATTCGCGCTTCCCCCCCTGATATTACACTGTCTTACTGCAAGCAATATTTAATAGTGTACAATATAGTTTACTCTAGAAGAAAATACCAAAATGCGGTTACTTTTTTATACTTCACGGATCCATTTTAAAAGAAAATTCATGTCGGCTTTCGTTATTTATTTTTAGTAAGTAGGTGATAATTATTAAAATCTTTATATCTTTATATATATAATTCTTCTGTGAGTGTGTATGTCACTGAACTTCTCTCAAACGACTGGACCGATTTTGATGATTTTTTTTGTGTGTGTTCAAGGGGATCTGGGAATGGTTTAGATTCACAATTTTGAATGGTAAGGGTGACCTATCCCTAATTTTTTTTTTGTTGCAATACAACGTTTGCCGGATCAGCTAGTACTCGTATATAATTCTTCTGTGAGTGTGTATGTCACTGAACTTCTCTCAAACGACTGGACCGATTTTGATGAAATTTTTTGTGTGTGTTCAAGGGGATCTGGGAATGGTTTAGATTCACAATTTTGAATGGTAAGGGTGACCCATCCCTAATTTTTTTTTTGTTGCAATACAACGTTTGCCGGATCAGCTAGTGAACTTATAAATTCTTAAAGAAAGTATCGATTGTTACTGAAAACTAAATACACTTAATACAAAACTATAACATTCAAAAAAAATTTAAAAAGTTATTTTACATTCTGTTTTAGTTGCTTCTTATTCTTGGCAGTTTTTTTATGGTCTTTTTCTTTTTTCGGGGCATTTCGTTTAGAAATAAAATCCTGTGGTATTGGCATTTGTCCTCCATAGTCTACTCCTGGCCCTGGTTTAAGAGACTTGCGGAAATTTGACTTCTTATTTATAGACTCTGAAGGCTTGAGTTACAACTCAAGCCTTCAGAGTCTATAAATAAGTACACGGCTTGATTGTGAAAATGTAGATCGCTATAAAATAAAAAAGCCTTACATATTTTTCTAAAGTTTAAAAATGAATTATCATCAACACATTTTCGTTATTTTAACTATGGTAAATTAACTATATTCATTTATAACTCCGTATCTCAAAAGGTAAAAAAGGAACCCTTATAAGATCACTTTCTTGTCAGTCTGTCCGCCTGTCCGTGTGTCACCACCGATTTTCTCAGGAACGGGTAGACCTAGCAAGTTAAAATTTATACCAGATACTGAGGTCTATGGTCCCTATTAGGTGTATAAAAATCAAGGTCCTGAGTCAACACGATAAAACGATATTAAAAAATTTCAAAATTTACCTTAATTTTCAACTTTTTTATTTTTCAGAATTTTCTCTTTACTTGTGCTGTAAGACCTTGCTTTTAACCAAAATTGACCATTCTAGGTCAACCGGAAGTACCCTATAGGTTTTACGTCGAAGACCTATATGGTAGTTCCCGTTGACATAGAATCACGAAATTTGGCGAAAAGAAACGTACAGCACAAATTAAGGAATAATTCCAAAAAATAAAAAAAGTTGAAAATTAAGAAAAATTTTCACGAAAATCTACGTAAAATCCACGAGTTCGACTCGTACCTGACCGTCTTTTTATAGAAGAGGGGCAAACGAGCAGACGGGTCACCTGATGGAAAATGACCAGTGACCAGCACGTTGCCGGCCTTTTAGGAAGGAGCACGCTCTTTTCATGAAGGTCCTACCGGTCCGAAAATACTGCAGTAAATGTTAACCCTCTTCTAATAGTCGTTATGAATAATATTTATTTAACAATAACTATCTACAATATATGAGAAGATAATCTTCTGCCTCACAGATTCGACGATGGCGGGCGTGCACCACTGACAAGTTCAGCCTAAGTCCGCGACCAGTGTATAAATAATTATCTATATAAATATATAAAATTGGAGTGTATGTTTGTAATATTAAAATAACCGCTTTTTACTAAATTCATATGTATGTTTACACGGTATATATGCCAAAATAACATTTTTTACACTTTTTGTCTGTCTGTCTGTTTGTTCCGGGTAATCTCTGGAACGGCTGGACCGATTTCGACGGGACTTTCACTGGCAGATAGCTGATGACATAAGGAGTAACTTAGGCTACTTTTTTAGGACTAGCTTCGCCCCGCGGCGTTGCCCGCGGTTATAACAACAAATGCGGGTAACACCGCGGCTCTCAGCTAGTACAAGAACAACTGTGTATTTATTTACCCTTGACCAGGCAACTCGATGGGCGCAACGACTCTTGAACTAATGTTATCCTTAAATGTAGTCCAGGCACATTGCAGGTAATCATTATTTTTCAAAGAGTAATGGTTGCGAAAGATGTACTTCATTGTTGACTTTTCATACAGAGGTAAGATATCGGCGTTTGCCGCGAACTTTGCCAGTTCCTCTGATAACCAAAAAAAATTGAACTACAATAATGAGTGGGTAATTTTTGGTGCCTCACTCAAGGGGCTCAAAGGAGGGATCATCCAAAATCGGAATATAATAATAAATTATAGCATCACTAATATTAAACTGTTTTTATTGTACATCAGTTAAACTGCAATTTTTCCTTTTTCCTAAAAATCGTTTACCTTTATCTGCTTGATATACCGGCGGTTTTCTCGTCGGACATGTTTTATTTTCTTGCGAATCCGTCATATTCCAATAATTCTTCACATTTAATTCTTCTAAATAGTTAGTTCGTACCTTATAATACCTTATTTAATTTTCTAAATTTGCTACTACGAGTAATATTTCAGTATTTGTCAACGTATGCATCAGTGACACAATGAAACAATTGAAAGAGTACTTTTAAAGTCATTCTACTACCAAAAGGTTCTAATCAATAAGGATAGGAGGGCAAACACCATCTATTCAAATACCTAACAAAATTTATTAGAGTTTTACCGGACCATAAAGACGTTTCGTGTAATTTGCTTTGTTATAATTTATCATCTTAAATCTATAAAAGAAGAAACTGACTGAGGTTAGGTGACGTAGGTGGGCACGGAATTTTACGGGTAGGAAATTTATATTAAACTTCGTTATTTTTAGTTAGCGGTTTCAAACTCACATTAATACTCTTTATTAAAAATAATGAATTAAATTATCCATTTCAAACTCTCAGTAAACAATATACTCTATGAAAAAAAATAGCATCTATGTTTTAAATTTAAATTCTTGCTTAGCTTTGCGGGTTTTAGCACATAGAAATATTCTATGGTCTAGAACAGCACAGAGACTACTTAGAGGTTATCCCATAGATTCTATATCTATGGTTTATCCTGAACAAAGACATTTACTCGAGCGACGCCGTGGGCAAAAGCTAGTTAAATATAAAACTATTTGTCAACAGAATTAAACGACAGAGAAATGATTTATTAGATGCATCAGACTCACATATAAGATGAAAGAAAGAATGTGTGTCTAAATAATTATCACTGAAAAATAAATATTATTGTAGAAATATGTTTTAAATTAATGTAATAAGTTAAGAAGTACCTGGATGACCGAGCATTGCTCGGTATTTTTTTAGGTAATTTTTTTTAAATAAAACCTAGCTAGATCGATTAATCGCCCCCGAAACCCCCTGCATAAAAAATTTCATGAAAATCATCGGAGCCGTTTCCGAGATGCAGATAAATAATTAAAGAGGTATTTGTAAATGACATACTGAATTACAAAAGTTTATTTCCTCGAAAAACACTTAATTGGCTAATGGAAATCAGCCAGACTGATATTGAACGTTTATTTTAATTCTAATTTACTATGTTTAGATCTGTAGTGCCCTTATTCACATAATGTATTTGAGTTTTTTAAAAACTTATAAAATTACTCTATGATAGCCACTTTTCAAAAAGGATGGTGGCAACACTGTCTATAGTTTTGCTTTTATACCTGTGCTTTGCCGGCATACATTTTATATCTGAGCATTTTATTTGGTAATAAAATGCTCAGATATAAAATGTATGCCGGCGGTACCAACCCGCAAAATCGTTCACGAGGAATTTGAAAAGCGCCGCCTCAGTGGGTTAGATTCCCGGACCGAGCGAAATTTGAGAGGGGTTTTCTTTCTTCCTTATATAGACAGCTAACTGGTAGTAAGATATTCTCAAAATCGGTACAGCCTTATTGGTAATAATATAAATAATTCAGTTTATTTCCGCTCTTTAGTGTTTTTAGGTTGGAAGTTATTGTTTTAAGTTTTTTTTTCGTTTTAACTTTATTCATAAAATTGTTATTTTTTTTCAATTATAGTCTAAATAATCAAATGTACGTAGGTAGTACGTTGAACTACTACACAAAAGTCGCGAGAGGTGCTATCTACGTAATCGCAAAGCCAGCGCCATCTTTTAGGCAGCAGAAAAAACTTCACTAGTCTCGTCCCCCACTTTTTGTTAGAGTTGCGCATCTATACCTTATATAGTGTATTATCTATGACGACCACCTTCAAATGTTATTCCTGCCGATGCGAAGAACTGTGGTGGTTTGATGCACGTATTAAAATTGGGTACAGGCTCCAGAGTTATATTGAGACGCAATATTTATGTTTCCAAAGGGCCTAGTTTAAGTATCATCCAAATTTAAATAGTCTGCCCTTCGCCGTGATCAAATAGACTCAGGAGAGTTACCCGATTCAGTTTTTATAAAATACTTGCTATACCCTGCCATGCTTTCGCTGTGGCACATTGTGGTACCAAAAATAGATAGAAATTATCTTTGAAGCTTGTTGTATATCGTGTCAAAGATTGAACTCAATCGGTGCAGAACTTTTTGAGTTTTAGAGGCATACACAAAATAATTTAATATTTTTATATACTTATATATATATTTTATACCTATGTATAGATGATGACGACACTATTGCCACAAAATCAAACAGTTGTTGACACAGGCGTATGGCAACTAACTCCGTTCAACATCCCCGTAACTTTTAGAAGGATGATAAACCTAACACTTATCAGGCAACTGAAAGCTACGGGGATGTTGAACGGAGAATGCTTCTGCTAATCTTCAGTTGGGCGGTTACGGTGCATAAACTCCAGGGCACTACCCTAAAACTCCCAAAAGCAATGTTTTTGTTGCGCTAAGTCGCGTAAAGATGGCATAATGATGGTGTTGCTCTTTGAGACCTAGAGCCACACAAAGCCAAGCACAAGCAACGATTAAGACTAAGTGTGTAAATTTAAATTAGAACACTAAAACAAGCTAGGTATGTAGTGCAGGTTGCTAATCCAGCCCCACGCTTTGCATGTTTTCTTTCCTGTACATTACAGGTTACCATGTTGGCATCTTAAAGTTAAATCGTATATCGAACGTATAACTCCTAACCGTTAAGGAGTTTTACGTTCCAGCATCAGCTCACCTGCATGACTTGTAAGAATACAACTGAAAGTCTAAACATAAAAATGGTATTTAAAGAAGTAACCTCCAACTCCTAACCGTTTAGGAGTTGTACCTTCCATCACCAGCTCATCAACACGAGATAGTGACTACCAGACGCAAATACTAGAACAGCTTTAAAAAATATATGAATCACATAATAAGTGCCTATAAAATTTGAGGGTTGCCCTCGATTTCCCTGAGATCCCCTCATCAGATCCTGACTTTGTGACAATGAGACTACCTCAGGACTATGCTCTCTTAATAAAAAAAAAATTTCAAAATCGGTCCTCAATTGACATAATCGGTGAACATACATAAAAAAAGTACATACAGTGGAACACAGAGCCTCCTTCTTTTTAAGTCGGTTAAAAAACTCCGCAATGGTATATGACTATCTCCTAAGGATAACCCACAGTAACCATTTATATCTTTTATCGTCCCGGGTGGCAGCGGCAGAGCGAGTCTATAAATATTGCATATAAAGATGTCCTGTGGTATAGTCCTATCAAAATAATAGTATCATTAATTACTCCACCCTGACACCACATTAGTAGTATTAGTAGCATCTACATTGCACACATTTTTGCCTCCGCATTTTAAACTTATAATATCTTCTAAAGTATTCATTTTAATGATGTGCTGTAAAGAGTTAATTTAATCTGCATAAAATGCATAACGTATTTAATTGGATAAGGAATACTCTTGAATCACTCTCTCTATTGGTAAAAGTCGGATTGAAATCCATAGCTTAGTTTAAAAGATCTAAGCAAGTGCGTACATGCTGTAGCAAACGTGTCGGAAAGAAGTCATGTTATCATTAGATGTTTCAGATTAAAAATATTTCTGACATATATTTCATTATAATTTGAAAGGCACTGTTTAGTTTGGCTACAGAATTTTTTCAAAATTTACATAATGATACTACATATATGTATCTATCGTTTGAAAAAAAATCCAATTTCCATCTTAAGGTAATTTTTACACAGACGCCGCGATATTTTTAAATTTAAATGAGATTTGTGAAAAAAAAAATTGAGTTGGTAACACTGCTGACCTAACTCTTCTCCCTTAGAGGCGGGAATTTGAACTGAAAGGGCGGAAAATTTTAAACAAATTTGCAAAATTTTTCTTTTCATTGTAATCTAGTGTATATAGTTGAGTGTATATAATTAAAATCTAGTATAGAGAGGTAAAAATGGTTATCGATGAGGGCGGGGGTGGTAATCCCCCGGCCCAGAGTAATAAAAGGCCTAGGAAAAGGGTCACCGAGAAAGACTGTGAAAAAAACGACGGCGGTGAGGACAATATATTCTTACCGTATTACAAACCAGACTATAAACGGTTATATCCGGAAAATTCAAATTCAACTGAGTTTAAAGTGTTCGTTGAATCAACTTCAAACGAGAGACTGGGCAACAAAAGTCCGATATATCTGAACCATATTTTTTCAAGTGGAATCAAAGGTGTAGTGGCAATTCGGCGAATAAATGCGAATAAGATTGTGGTGATATTTAAACAATTCAATACAGCCAATAACTTTATTAACAATAAGACATTCTTAGCGAAAAATTCCATGCGAGCATTCATTCCAGCTGCTCATATTGAAAAAACCGGTATCATACGATTTGTTCCAACGAATATATCAAACAAGGACTTGTACTCAAAACTATCGTCGATCTACGAAATAATTTCAATCAGACGGTTTTTAAAAAAAGTAGGACAGGAACGTGTACCTTTACAAACTGTAAGCATTACATTTCTATCAAATACACTTCCTGATAATGTTCAATATGACCTGTTCTCCTACAGAGTTTTTGATTATATTCCTCCTCTGCAGCAGTGTTATAGATGTTTTAAATTCAATCACTCAGCCAAGATCTGCAGTGGCAAACAGCGCTGCAGCTGTTGTGCTGGTGATCATCATTATAAAGAGTGTGAGAAGCCAATTGAGCTCTGCTGTGTCAACTGCAGTGGGCCTCATATGGCCATCTCAAGGGCCTGTCCCATAAAAATGAAAAAAATTATAGAGAAGAAAAGCAAAATCACTTACTCCTCTGTTGTAAATACTGTTGTAAATACTCAAAATGTATCAGATTTTCCTGAACTAAAATCTCCCCAACCAGATGTACAAAAAGGAAACTCTAGTGTCAATAAATCTTTAAATTTAAATAAGTCTCACACCCCAGCGAAAGCTGCTTCTTTTGATGTTAAAGCACAGTTACTTGTAAATAATGACTTAACCATGGCAATTGTTCGTACATTAGTTGAATTGG